TGAATCCACTTTACAATATAAACTTTATTTTACAATTTTGAATTTACTTTGATAACGCACGCTCGCAAGAAGTTAAAACTAACGCAAGAGTCACAGATGAAAAACGTTCTGGCCTGGTCAAGTGTCGAAGGCAGACTGCTTGATCTTTTCTAGGGTACACTCCCTCGCTTCAGGCCCGGTTGGCCGTGAGCGTCCCTTTCTAGACGGTTTTCATGTAGCCCATCGCGTCCCTCTTCTTTTTTTTTTTTTTATTTGTTACAACTCGGCCTTAATAGTGGTCCAAAGCTGCGAGTTGAGGAAAGCTCACCTCAATCATACTTTTAATTGCAAGGCGCCTCGCGTCTCTTGCACCCGCGTTCGAAAACCATTAGGATAAACAACTTGTCCTCTTTTGGCGGTTCAGGAGGAGGGGTAATGGTACGCACCCGCGATTCCAGGCAATTTTTCGCTTCCATTCGCAACTTAAACTAATAGACGCTCGCTTTACAAATTTTATGGCCTTTTACTACTTGGCCGCTGCGCGTGCAGCTTACAATGGACACCGTTTGGGCTCTCTTGGTTATTTGGAGAACCAAGCGGTTCGTGTGGACAGGGCACACGTGTACTTCATATGGTCAGCTATTGCTCACGCCCCGGCGCGTATTACCGATCATCAAATTTCTTTTCTCTTTTTTTTACAAATTTTACTGCGCTAGACCTTTAGCTCTCTCGCTTGCCGAGCGTTCGTAACAATAATTGAGTTATTTTTATTCATTTACGTCAAGTCCTAGCGAAAACTAGTTACAATTATGCATTTATGCTAAAAAACGTAAAGCCTTTAATTAATCACGAGATATGCAGCACTGCTTCTCTTTAAAGCTTTACAGGACAAATTATTGCGCTCGCGTAGTATTGATAATTTAATTATAATACTTTCACAAAGAAAAAGACAGCAGCCAACTTCCACAATCGCAAAATTTCTATACGGAAGTCCATCCTGCATGAAAGTCCTATAGCGATAGAGATATTCAAGGAATTTTATTCCGTCAATATAATAAATCCTCGGTGCAATCACTCAATTAACCTCCCGGACGAAGATAATTGCAGATCAGATAACAATCCTTTCCACGGTGCTTACGATTTTCACTTAAAGAGGTATAATAAAAAACATCATCGAGCGAGCGCCGCCAATGTAAACAGTCGCCTCGTAAATGTGAATTGTTCAATTAAAAATCAACCGGGTATAAGACAAAACAGCCAGTCGTTACACATACCTACTCTCAGGGATTTAATGAGTCGCTTATTATTAGAAAGTGATTAAATCTAACGTTTTCTCATTGAAGTACGCGAGTGTATATTGACAATGTTTTGTCGTCGCTGAGTCGAAAGCTCATTATATCGTTTGATTAAAATGAAATTCATAATATGTATGTGCGCGCGTGCTTTCTTAAAGTTATGAGAAGTAGCAGATTTCACTGAACTTCATCCTGTCGCGTGCAGTTGTGTGTAATTGGAACGCAATGCCTTTACTCTGCGATTTTAACACAAAGAATTCGTTGAAATTCGACATAACGAGAGCAAATGTATAAATAGAAATCGGGAGGCGATTTTTATTTGCGATTCCTCAAAAGTTCCCTTATTGTCATGCATTATTCAGCAAAAACTACGCATTTTCCACGCGAGCTCTTGCTACTTTATTGTCCTTCTCTTAGTAGATATGGTATTATGAAATGAATGAACAAAGTAAAAACATTATTGCCGGAAAAACTTTGAAAATCCTATTTTTTCTTTACCGAACGTTTATATTTACTGACCGATATGAAATTCTTTTTTAAGCTACCATTGGATCGTCAATAAATGTTGATATTATATTTAAAGACGTATGCGAAACGTCGAAAGTAGCCGATTCATTGCAATTCAATAGAATTTCAGAAATTGTAGCAGGCACCCGGGATTTTAATGTCGCGTTGAATTATCACTCTGAAAAATCTCGCTGCTATCCGCAATGCGAGAAGCAGGTAACAGGATCTGCAAAAAGGTGGTAGATCCCTTTCTCCCTCAGAATTTCATTAATCAAAGCGATATAGTAATTGCCACATGCATACGCGAACGCTCGGCGCCCATTATTATAATGCAGCACTCCAGCTAAGGCGTGGCTGGCGTCGTGTCGAAAGCTCCTCTGACCTTCGGGTCCCCCGTGTGAAATAGAAAAAAGAAAACGGCGTTGCGGGTGAAAGGGGCAGTTGATACACAGGCGCGAGCGCACGTTCTGGAAGATAGAGATACGTAATTAGCGATTGTTCCGCGATATTTCATCGAATTAAGCTTTTTCCATCTCGACTGGCTGTTTCTCTTCTTTATGTCCTTTGAAAGCAGACACCACACGCGGAGCGAGCATTCAATCTTCATTACTTAATGCCCCGATTGTATTCTAAAATGCCGATCTCGTTGCGATGCATTAACGAGAGCCTGAATTCATAAAAGCACGTATACGTTCACTTTGTACCCCGCGACTTTTCATTTTTTTCGTCTCGCAGCTGCTCTCGCTCCTTGCACTCGGATCGGTCCACGTCCTTCTCGTAGTTTCAGTTGTTTCCAGATCGTACACTGGCGCCGGCGAGCGAGCGTTGTCCGTGGAGATTGATTGTGGGGCAAGGCCGTTCGCGCGCACCACTCTCGTCAGACAGCGATAGCGCGCGGGAGCTTTCGATACCCAGCCACTCTCGCTCCGCCGCTTTATTGCGGCAGCCTTTTTCTCGGGCGCTTTATTCCGTTGCTCTCGCCGTGCGCTTCAATTATCACTCGGCGCGTGCAGCTTATAAGCTGCCGCGGAAAGGTTAAAACAACGAGTCGATCGCAAAAGCGAATACCCACCTTGGCGGATTCGAGAAAACTCGCTCCGTGTCCCTTTCCCTCTGCTATCGCGCGGCTGCATGCTGATGGATATGGATACGCGACACTCGGTTTTCTTTCTCCCGGGCAAGGTCGACCAAAAATCCGGTTAGTCGCGCGCGGCGCGCCGCGAGAGCTCGTTCGCTCCCTGGCGACATTACGCAAGCTTATATATAAATCGTCAAGCGAGCGAGTGCATTCGGCCCCGATGTATGTAAATTTTTATCGCGCTCGCCAATCGATCTGGCTTTTCTTTTTTGCTTCTTGTAACACCTTTCCTGCGAGCACCCCTCACGAGACAGTTTGTTACTGTCAAAAGTATTGTTGGGAAATTTATAGTACATAACAGGTGCCCGCGCGTCTTACTGCTATACGTCGTCGGCGAGGCTCGAGGCTTTCACGACGATAGGAAATTCGCACAGTTTTTTCTTTTTTCGAAAGGCAATCGCAACCAGTCTCGAGAAGCTTAAGAAGCAATTTATCGTGAGAAACCCTTACGATCCTTGCGCATTTCTTCAAACCAGATTACGAAGAAAGAGTACGCGCCCGAAACGAAAAACGTGTAATCATTTTTTTTTTTTTTTCCATTTTGCCACGTGACAGCACATAAGAAAGACGAGCGAGAGGGAAAAGCTTTCTAACGCGAGAAGAGCTAATAGCCAGCTTTGAAACGTTCAAACACCCGCGTGCGCACGACAGGCGGAAGACACTCGTGGCTTTTAATCGAAATCATCCAAGCGCGAGACTTCGAGTGAAATCACCCACTACACACGTGTTCTTTTTTTAGCCTTAAGCTTCATTACGGTTTACGCCTCGTCACGACCGTATACACGCGGGAGATTGACGCCTCGTCTACCTCCGAGCTTGAGGCTTTTTAACGCAAGCTTTTATGACTCGAGGGGAGCCGTTTAATTTCGTGCGCGAGTGCTTATTTCGTCATCAAGTACTTTAATCGTCTTAGAAAAAATGGCCGCTGAAATTCTGCCTGTATTTTGTTGTTCTCGTTGTCACTTTCTAATGGAATAAAGCGGTGTGATTTTGCACGATAGCGCGATTAACTTGAAATTATCAGCGGATAAACGCTCGCGCGTATATAACGTATAATCGATATGGCGGCTCTGACGTCGTCTATTATAACGGATATATTGCGAAAACCTCGATCATTGCTGTAGCCCGAATCGCCATTGTATAGCTAATATGTAGGGCATTTCACAGCAATGACGGCTGTCGAACTTTCTTTAGCAAAGGTTATGCTCAGTCGAGTGTCAACGTTATCCGGCGCAAGGGTAACTCTCTGTGCAATGGCAATTAAATATCAGTCATACCGAGCCACTTTGAAATCAATTCTTATCTAAATAATATCAGATAAATAAATATATATATAAGTGCCGAAGATAAAATTATTAATTAATTGAAACAAGTCTCTTGACATGGGTTACCGCATCAAATTCGCACCTGCAAATATCAGCGTACTCAAAATTAATGAAAGCACTAAATCAAATTGCTGTATTGCAAATGCTTAGACCGCAAACGGTGAGACATCCCGCTGTGATATACACATAATGTTTTTAATTGAAAACCGCGTCGCGTGCCACGGAGTATTCGTACGTTGCGATATCGCTTGGATAAGTTTTGCAGGGGCAAGACAAAGCGGATAACTAATGGCTTACTTGGCCTGCGAATCAAACGGCGATTCGATGTGATTCGCAAGAGGCCCGCGATGCTTGTATCATTGTTTAGGCGAACCAAAATTAATAGGGGAAATAGCGTGTACGCGTATGACGTAACCGACAGCAGTGCACACAAATATGTTGCACCTGCTATGAGCGCTGTAACGTAGATCAGACAGAATATTTTTTATGCAAATTAAGTATATCCAGAGCTCGTTACATGTACGCGTTGTCGACATTTTTATGCGCACGACGAGATTATCTCTGAATTTCTCACCGCGGAGATTGTTCGTACGAGTGACCACTCAGTCGAACGTACGGTTACCGCAACGATTGAGATTTCTAGCGTCCGTCGGAAAATCGTTCAAGGAGATATTAGCTTGCGATCTCTGCGAGATGAGCATTGAACGAGTTGGTAAGAGAAACAAGCATCCACTGACACGTTGGTATATGTTGCAGAATGCACGAGGATAACGCCGAGGAGCCCGAGGGCGAGTCGCAACGCCGCTGGCCTCGAGTTCGAGTGCCCCGAAGAGTTTGGCTACTATCCTCATCCGCGCGACTGCACCATGTACTATGTGTGCGTCTTTGGCGGCGCCCTCCTCGAGTCTTGCACTGGTGGTCTCATGTACAGGTCAGCGATGATCATTTACAATTGTTGCGTAACAACGAGCACACTGGATCTAATAATCGAATACGAACAAGGCTATCAGCGAAGAACATTTTTAATCAAATCTGATGATACGCAATGTGTCACTCGCGGCTAGCGACAAGATTCAAATCTCAAATAATAAAGTGAACAATCAAGATAACTAAGCGTACTGCACGTTGATATGATTTACGAGCGCAACTGTAACTATTACATTTCAAATTAATGTTCTACTCCGACATAATTCTAGTTTAGATGTAATTGAGCTTCACAAAAGAAACCCGTTAAATTAGCGCGCTTAAACTCCCGTGTGTTTCCTACCGAAACTACGCGTGCTAAAGTATCAATCTACTCGAGAAAAAAAAAAAAAAAAAAGAATAACCACGTCAGTTTGAGACGTCAAGTGGGTCGTTCGGTATATATACGTATCTCAGTGCACGCAAAGAGTAGATCTCATTTTTCAAGTGTACACTCGCAGAACGAACAAGTATAAAAGGCGCACGAGACACGCGGAAACGACGTGCACATATAGACGCGCGCAATTGCCTTGTAAATGCGCTTCGTTAGCGTGTTGCGGTAGTTTGGTATATATATAATACACGGGCAGACACACACACACACACACAAATATATCGATGGGAAACAACGGAGCAAACGTCGCCCATTGAAGTTAATCTCTTTCTCCTGCGGGCGTGACAAACTGTAGAAATCGCAGTCGCGGCGGCGGCGACACAATTGACGTAATTTTGAAAGTGAATTATAAATTGCGAGCGCTCGCTTGAGCGGCGGCAGTAGCAGTGCGCTTATGCAAGCACAGTGCCACCCCGCGCCGCAGATCCTAATTGGCCGGATCGTAAGAAAAATGCATTTTCCAGCTCCTTTTCACTGCTTCGCTGCACTGCCGCCATAGGCATTCGCTCGGCCGTGTCGCGCGCCACTGGCGTTCCGACGGCGTGCAGCGCGGAGCCCGCGACACGAGCCGTCTTCATTGCTGTCGGTCGTCGGCAGCCTCGTCGATTATGCCACCTCGAAAATTCAATTAGCGGCGAGAAATGTATTGTGGCGATCGGCGCGCGCACGATAAAAGCGTATTTATGACTCATTCAATGATAATGAGAGCACGAGTTAAATTAGGATTAGGAAGTGCAGGCAGCTGGAATCGAAAGTACAGATATATACACAACGGAGCTCTGCGCTATTGCGTGCGGATGGATTATACATCAGCGCGACTTTTGACGAAGTGCTCTACAGCCGCATACACATACGTTCCCATAAGCCAACTCAGAGTTCGTGAGACCGCATTGTGAAAAAAAAGTGCAGAAAAATTTATGAGAACTACGCGAACGTGAGCTTGAGCCTTGTTGAAAAACGATACTACACGGATATAGTTTTTCGATCCTCGTGTTGGCTGTGTGAAACTGTGCAGTCGAATGAAATTTCGAAATTGAAACGCGCCAGGTCGCTCAGCTAAATCATGGGTATTAATTAATTATGCGTCTCGTAGTATCAGAACCTGTTTTTTTAATGAATGCTCCAACGTCGGGTCTTTCGTCGAAAAAGAAAAGAAATTGAGGAATTGAAAGAGAACAGTTAGAAATATGAGTAAAATCAATTGATTCATCGTCCGTGTCGATAAAATTTGAATCGGCTTGATTCCCCCAAACTCCTACCTCCATTCGTTCGAACGACATAAGCAAATTCGTCAAGGGCATGGGCAAAGCCAAATAGGTAGCTCGGTAATTCCAGGCTGAAATGAGATAGCTTAAGGTGGGCGCGCGAAACGCACTCGCTCATTAACATATCGCACGGGGCCACGCGTTTCGGAAGTGCAGAGAGACTACTCCTACCGCAAACTGTTACACGCAGGTACATAAGCGCGATCCAATTAAGGATAAATGCAGCTAGCCGAGACGCGCTTCCCAACACATTAGGATACACACGCACGCACATGCAGCTCTAAGCTGATTTATCTCTCGCGCGCGTTGCTGCTATAAGTATATGCTGCGATTGCTCGGCATATATTTACCGAGACTTCCGAGGAAAGTCCTTTCTCGGCTGTGTATTGTAGGAAGAGTTGGCGAGTGGAAAAACGCTTGGTTCGAGTTTCCTTTTTATGTTGGTTGCATTCGCACTGAATTGTTAACACTATTATTCCGTTGGAATACAAACTGTTTGATGAAAAATAATTCTTTTCGGAATTCAACATTTAATCGAACATTCGTTGCTTCTCTTGAGTTTGGAACAAGAAAATAATTGTCGAATCGCACGTATAAACGTGTATTACGTGTATTTAGCCTCGAGTGAAGAATCTGTCAAGCATAAACGTCTGTGAATGCGATATTTGAGCAACCGTTGCTCAATGAATATCTCTCCCTCTCTCTGTCACTGGCATCACACTTGTTTGAGAGATCGCCAGCGCGCCATAGCTCATCGCTCTATCACTCGAGAATCCAAAAGAAAAAAAAACATATTGCTGTGCGCGCAGCGGCGCGTCACTCTCTCCCACCGAAATAGGCAATCAGCTGCGAGAGAGGTAATTACCTGAACTCGCGCCGCGTTACACCAAAGCCGCACGGCACTTCGTAATCGACGTTGGAGGATAGCCCTGGCGTGGATATTTTTTCCCTTGTGCCCCCGTGTTCGTGTGTACGTTTTTCTTTTCTTTCTTTTTTTTTCTTTTTTTTTCGCTTGCTGCCGCTCTTGCGAATTGAACTTCGTATCCTTTCTATCGCGTTGCACAAGCCACGAACCTTCGCTTTTTCTTTGTTATGTGCGCGAAAAACGAAGCGAACGCGATGCAAATGCACGTGCACGAGCAAAAAGTTGAGCTCGATCGCGAATCTGCCGATTGTTAGACGGTATATTATATTGAAAAACCGACGCGCTGTCGATGTACTGCAGATTCAACAGTAATTTCAATTAGCTTAATGTAATCTTTAATAAAATGGTGTTTTTCAAACGATGCGATATTTTGCAAGAAATTTGAAATGTAAATGATACTTTGAACGTTCAAAAAAATATTATCATTTGAAGAATGATATAGTTATTCTATAATATTGCTCATCGACAATTAGAAAAAAATACTTTACAGAATTAGCTTCTGTTTTTGCGTTAAAAAATCGAAATTTTACGAAAGTGAAAAAGTAAGCAAAACGGTAAGGTTAGTTTTCTCCGAAAGAAGATAAGAAATCAATCATTAGTTTACAATTTCCCCGAAGCATGGGCGATAAAGTCAATCTAAAATCACAACTAGCTCGCAAGTTCCAAGAGTCGATATTTTTTTTTAAAGTAAATCCGATCGGCGTTTGAGATGCGCCCGTCCAAGTGGTAAATCTTTCTGTTGGTTAAGATTGACGTGTACGTAGCGTTGGAAGCGTGACGAGAGATTAACGAGGCGTTATTTAATTTCCTTCCACAGTCACGAGCTGCAGACCTGCGATTGGCCGCGCAACGTCGGTTGCCCTGAAAACAGTTCTCCCTCCAAGGACATCGACGACGAGGATCCGCTACTCGAGAGGTGAGTTTTGAAAGGACTTTTTTTCTTTCCCTAAAGGTTAACATACTTAATATATAATTGATTCTGATGGCTCTTCCGCATTTTTGAGTTTGTGACCGAAGTGTTTCAGGATACTTTTTCTTTCCAGAAGATGTGATGCGTTAAATATCAGCTGCGAGATAAACGCGAGATTTTTTTCTTCCACGAATGAATCAATCACTTTCACGTTGTTTGTCGTGGGATATATATTTATTCTTCTCTGATACTTTGTCGTTTATCAAGCCGGTAGCGAAAAGTAAACGTTTTTATAGACTGCCTTGGACTGAATGAAAGGAACGTAATCAGAAAATTTATGGTTCTGATGCAAGGTAAAACGCGATCATTAAGCTACGGCTATAAAATAACCAAGTGTTTCGATGACACGTTTTATTTTTTAATAATTTCCAATGCGTGTAATAACTGTATATTCTTTGATGTCATCTTCAAGATATATTCTCGAGTAAAAAGTCGAGCACTACGAGCCAAAACTTAATACAATGGCAAAATAATGCCTTTACATACGCATTAAATTTATTTAACGTTACAAAATAATCATTTCCACAGTTTTTTTTTGTTTGTTTTAATTGGATTACAATTTATTGCCCTACTGTTAACGGGAAATTCCATCTGATTATATCCCGAGCCTGCGGTGATTTCATCAAACACGCTTTTACAACTACATAAAATTCACCTAAAAAAATCATCAGCACTCAAAAGCCTTTGACCTGATGAACTTAAAATCGGAGTGACGTTCAGCTGCACAACATTTACAACCAATCGATTATCGCGTGCGGTATTTAACGTCGGCATCTTCGATCGCTATCTTCGCGAACAGCCAATATTTTGGCAGAAACGCCGACAGATAACTGGCGCGACTGCGCCTGCTGCGCAATGATAGATCTGCGAATAAAGTCATTAATCAATGCCTGTCAACGAGCGAAAGGACCCGTAACCCCCGAGTTCTTTCCCTCGTGGATGTGTCTCAGTGCTGCTGCAATACGCGCTGAAGACTGAGTCGTAAATTAACCGGCGTGTATGATTAGTTGTTCGAAATTTCATTACTACGCTCGCTAGACAAACTTGGCTCTTTTAGTTGGTACAGAAGAAAAATTATCGCCGCGATCGGCGACGGTAGTTTTCGTTTTTTCTCCACTCGTGACGTATGTGAGAAAATTGTTTGCTGTTTGCGTGAGCGTATGAAATAGCTCTTTGGAAAGGTTAATCGATTTTCAAGTGCTGAATAGCATGGAACGCAGGTAATCGAAGTATGACGAATGATTTTTCCTCGGCAAGGCTTAGAAATAAACAAACTGTCGAAAGTAGACTTTTTTTTCATAACACTGTTTGCCGATGTGTGTCTTGCGAAAATAACATTCGTTATGATTTGCGCGCAGCGAAAGAGGCACTCGATAAATTTTCAGCGCCGACCCAGCCAAATGAAAATATCGCAAGAGCATTCAACCTAACACCTTGTCGCGAAGTTAGCCATTAAAAGCAACCCCGAGCGCAATAACAAACGAGATTTCACAGGCCGGTAATTATCAATTTTCCCCGGCCGGAAGAAAAAAGGCCAAAGAAGGGAAATTATATCCGAAGCAGCAGCAACAATTATGAATGAAAAGCTGCACTTAATGATAAGCCTTCGACGCGCGCGCGCCCGTCAAAAAAAATATCATCTCGCATCTAATTGCTCTATGCATAATCCAGGAGGCGTGTCAGGTCTCGCGATAAGATCGATCGACGGTGGCCGGTGGCGTTTCAAGGAAAAACAAAAATAACAATCAGCGCGTGTCGCTGCACGGCAGGGAGAGGGCGGTTTCTTAACGCATTCGCGATCCTGTTTCGCAAGCTGGCTCGAGCGCTTGGGCAATTGCATAGCAACGTATACTCATTAGCGTACACACACATTGTCGATTACGAGCGCTGCACTCTGACAGATTGTACGTGGGCCGGTCATTTTAAGCGTAGCGCGCGTGCCTTTAGCACAATTGATGGCGGACACGTGTTGCATGCCGCGGCTGATTGAGATGTCTTAACATCCGCGAAGGCGATGTGCGCTTTGACAGGCACGAGGGCGATCAATATAATGCGGCTGTCGTTTATTGCGCCGCGCGCCGCGTCATTTTAGCGCAAGCCGCTTTGAAACTCATTCGTACGCGCTCGATCATATTTCACGAGGCAAATACGTCGCGTGAAAATCACACTCGTATCACTTGGCGCTCTTTTTATAGTCGCTTTTTTCATAGTCAAAAGAATAATTTTTATTTCACCTCATTCGTGTCAACTTTAGTCCAGCTACTCGCACGAAAAGTATAATCAGCGAAATCTATTTCAAATCGCGAAAACGAAAGTTAATCTCGAAAATAAGACAGAGGCAAGAGTGGCGTGCGTCTCAACGATCCTTAAAAAACCCAGAGGAAATCCTGGACGAAAAAAAAAATGTTGAAATACGTATTGCGTTTTCGCGCCGGAAACACAAAAGGAGATTATACTTTCTTGGCGGAGAGTGTATCTTCCACTTGAGCTGACGGGAGAGCGCGCGAAAATTAACGGTTAGTTGAATTGCGTTGCAGTCGTGGAAAGAAAACAATTGGAACCGCAAGGTCTCATCATCACTGCTTCACGCCTTAAGCAACTATTTGCCGAATTTGGTAAAGCCTTGTCGTCCATTTTACATCCTATAATATTCGTAGCCAAACTTTTAAAACGTTGAAACTGCACGTAGCGTGCAAGATATTTCGGCATGTTCATTAATGGCTTATTATTTAGAAAAAAATTAGCTCTCATGCTTTATTTGTTACCCCGTGAAAGTATGTCAAAACTTTGTTTTGTTTTTTTTTTTTTTTTCGTCTCGAGTACCATCTGTTAATAATTAATGCAATTATTTCTTTGAATGTTCCTGAAACGACAACGAGATCGTATAATTAAATGGAAAATTATCGAATGTACACTGTACGGACTTTCTGTTAGAAATAATTCCGGTAATCGATTACCCGTATAAATATTTTTATTGTGGAATAACCGCAAGTAGATATATACTTGACACGTTCTACGTATACGTAGAAGTCGTTCGATTATTTCTATGGAACGAAGCGTGCAGGTTGAGGTTTTGGAATCCTTCCTTTGCTATTTCTTTCTTGTCTTTTTTTTTCTCTTGCGGTCTAGCGGGTTCGAGCGTTACGCTTATTATGTAAGCTATGTAATAGCCGACAATTTATTAATGGCTCTTGCGTTTATTTATGAAAGCAACAAACTTCGACCGGAATTATCCACTTGTAGGAAAAAAGTGTCTCTTAAAAGTCAATCGTTTCGGTCTCTACTTCATGAACCAAGGCGAAAAATCCTCATTGAAACACCAATTCCATGCGCAAATTCTAAAATACCGGATCGTAAAACGATAATAGTTGTGATATAGTTTTGATTTACTTCCAAAACTTTCTAGACGATATTAATTTTTTTAGTAAGGATTATCTTGAAATGTATTTTCAGTATTTGTGGTAAAAACCTAATAAAAGAAAAACGTATTTACCTGACATTTATTCGTGGTTACTATGAAAAATTATTTTTTAATTGCGAACGCGAAGATTAAAATTGTAGATGACGAATATAGCAACAAGCATATGGTTAACAGACCTTCATCGAGCGATGTCTTTTTCCTTTTTTGATACTAATTATTATTGCGCATTATTCATTTAACTATTTGTGGTAGGATACCAGTGTAGAAATTTTTTCCGGACATTACGTGCGTTCTTTAAGTCATAACGTCACACTTTATAATTCCTTGCTTTTATATATTGTGCGAAAATTTCGAAATAGTCAGACATCTATGAAATTGCTATTTCAAAGTCTATACATGTATACACGAAAAAAAAAAACTTTCACATTACCATATCTTACTTGCACATTAATACGATAATTTACCTTTGTAATTACACCACCCGAAACTATCAATTCGATTATTTATGTAAATTATTCAAACTCGTACATTAAATAACATTAAAAAAATTTCTCCAAAAAATCATGTTTTATGTCAATAACATTATTCAAGTTTAACGTTGAATTGATATTTCAACATTAATGAAATAATTGATAACTCTGCGGCTACTTGAATAAACCAATTCAATTTTATTTAAAATTATATTAACTGACACTTTGTGGACGCCAGGAATACTTTGTAATACATTTGGCTTTTTGTTTCCGTCTACTTTTTTTAATTTTACCGGAATGCACTTTCTCTTTTGGCGTAAATAAGTATACCAACGTACATACATACAAGCGATGTACTCGTAAATATGATCATTTCGGGCGTACGTGGCATTAATTTGTAAATATTTCACGTATAAATTTTCAAGTGTTAGACTGAAGAAGAGTCAAATGTATGCATACACGTCTGTCCGATCTCTAATACTATACAATATTTTAATATAACATGGTATAGGCTACAATAGTGCGAGCACGGAATAATCTCATTAATTTTACATATCTATATTTTTGGATTTTTACTGAGTGAATAATCTCATCATGTTAGAATTCATTTGCATTATAAACATTTCAGGGGTTTCCCGTTCGGTATTTTGAAATAGTATACACTTGGAGAATAACATTACAATTCGTTATACATGTGGATCGTCAAAACGAAAACAACCGGACGCAAGTTTCTATTCTTATAGTCGTCATCGTACTAGAAACTTATTAGATCAATTTACCCGAAGAATTTCCATATGTTTAATTTAATTTCGGAAAATAAACTTGTCGCGTATACATAAATTTTCATGCAGCAATGTTTTGCAAATTCTCCAAATTCACGTTTCAGAGCCGAGAAAGCTGAATCGATCCAGCAGCAGCAGCAGCATCATCCGCAGCATCAACGGGTTTCTCAACAGCAGCAGCAACGTAACATCCAACGTCAACCAGTGACGGTGCCTTCACCTTCGGTCTCACCGTCGGCCATATCTGATCGTCAACAGTTACAACGTCATCGCACACCACATCAACGTACGTACCCGGATGACGAATACGAGCCAGCATCGGAAATCGAGAGTGACAGGCAACAACGGGTGTATCGTGGACAACCGTCGACCGTGGGACAAGTGGCGAGAGATCGTGACGGGCTCAGAAGGAACATCATCAGCGTGAGTTTTGCATTTCGTTAAAATGAAAAGAAGAAAAAAATTACGAATCTAACGAAATTATGTAGTTTGGGAAATATACGTATAGTGCGTTTTCGGCAAGAGTTAGAGGCAATTCCGTGGAACACGGATTGTCACGGTGAATGCCGCTGAACTGTATGCGATCGAAATCTCATTTCAGCAGCGCCACGCTCGTCGTCGTCATCGTGTCGGATATTTATGCCGCGGAAACACGCGTCTCCGTTATGCCTCATTAGCACGACTATATAAGCCTCGTGACGTTCTATTTTCGCGATTCTACCTCACCTTCCTCGACCTCTCTCACTCACTCCCTCGAGCAGATCCTACACGCTGATTTATAGAAAAAACGTATAAACATACGACGATCGATTTATCACACTACAAATTGCCTCATTAAATGCCCCGCGCGCTCACTCATTTGTTGTGCTGCGAACTGAGTTCTCTCTCTCTCTCTCTCTCTCTATTTGCTCTATACTGCTGATTTTTAAATCGATAGTCATCCATTTTTTTCATTCGAGCGATATCCGATCCGAAGTCTATGTGTATTTACTTTGTTACGAGGCACTTTAATCCATAGGATGACTACCTTTTTCTTCGTTTCTTGTCGGCCAATCTAACAACTTTCGTCGTCCAAGGAAAGTTAATTAATCTCACAGCCGCACACGAGCAGCGCATTTATATACGTAGGCTACTGGACGGCCGCACGCATCACTCCTCATACTCATTGGAGAAAAAGCAAATCTCCGCGAGATTTGATTCAACGAGGCAGCTGACAAAACACTCGCGTTGCGCTTGGAAGTCGCTAATAAATTGAGTTCAAGGCTCTCATTATCGGCGGAGCTATTAATAAGCCGCCGAGAAAAAAAAATGAATCCTTATGAGCTACCGAAGCCAATGGCTATTTACGACGGGTATATCCGGACGCGTTGCAGATAGTAAACAGGTGATTAATCGATCTTTTTCCTCGACTTTCAGGAGAGAGAGAAGGACAGACTAGTGAACCCGCGCACACAGACGGAAAATCATTACAGGTGAGTTAGAGCTATAGCTGTTGCTTCGATTTATGATAGACATTCGTTTCATATACGCAATGTGTGCCTTGAAAAATAACTAATTTGTCAGAATTTACATGGAGTTGTGCTTTTTTTCTCTCCTCAAACTCTCCGACGAAGGGTGAAAGTTCGCTCGTACGTGCGTGAAATTGTGATTTTATTTCCTATTTGCCAGTTTTGTAGCAGTTACAATTGTGTAACTTCGTTTTCTTATATTTGCATGCATAATTACTTTTACGTCAAAAATACAATTCGCGATCTGCCTGGACTAGTAGCTTCGGGAACAAATCTACTTTCCAAAATATCACTTGCGCGCGCGAGGTTCAAATCGCAGAGTAATTTTCTGAAAGATTGAACGATGTCACTTGAATTGCAGGAGCGTGTCATCCGAGTCGCCTCAGAGAATTGCAAAGACAGCCTCGACCGTCGCGCCGATCGTTTCGAAATCGTATTACAGTGAACCCGATCAAAGCTATCCTTATTACACCATCTACGACGATGACGTCTCCATCTACAAGGATGACGGTACGTACACAATACGAAAATGCACCAACATGTACCCTGCACGTACAAATTACCAACCAGCTTTTGTAAAATGCACGATTGGATTTAATTTTTCGCTCGTTCTTTTCAATATATAACCTTATATGCGTCCAACTTTCTAATTTAAAGTGTGAGCTTGGGAACGAAGTGTCAAGTTTTTTTGAGAAAGTCGATCGTGCAGTAGATAACTCCGTTTTGAAAAAAAAAATCGAACTACACTCTTATTGTTCAAGTTAAAGACAATTGTTGTTATTGGTACACGTAGATTGATATATCGGATATTAATTTCGGTTTTTTATAATGGATGCTCTTGAACGATTTTGAAAGCGCTTTAAAAGTGAAACTGCAATTTGGTTTTGTTGCAAGGATTGACAAGTTTATGGTAATCGTAAAAAAGTCGACAATTTGAATGATGACCATAGAGAAAACTTTAATTGAATACAAATACTTATTATTGGTACTTTACATGTGCGATTATGAAGATTTAAAGATCATTAGATGCAAAGATCATAGGTTTTTCATTTGCCATTAGCGTTACTTGGCGCCTTAATAACTTGTTCCGTTATAACATTAAAGTGCCGTTTCGTTGCAAGTATCATCTTGCTCTCCGTGATCCATTAAAAGAAATCATATATACATATTGAAACGGGTCATGAGAAGTGAATTCAAAATCCAATTGCAAAAATGCTGCAAGAAAATTACTCGTGATGTTTCGCAAAGCGAGACAACATTTCAAAAGAAAAAAAATCCTCTCACATTTATCAAACTGTCGCCTCATTAGCAATATTTACCATACAATATAATTTCCTCTTTCACACTTTCGCAATTTTCAATTGGCAATTTTCTCTTATCTGACGGTAGATTACAATCCGTTCCCATTGAACAATTCGGCACCTATTCAGCCACCTCCACCACCACCTCAGCATCAGCAATTGCAGCAGCAGCAGCAGCAGCAACAGCAACACCAACCTCCGCCACTACCACCGCCGCAGCAAAATATTCGTGTAGAGGTGTCACCGAGCTCCAAACCGTACGTACAGAAACCCAAGAAAATTGCAGTTCACGAGGCTGACAAGTACAATCTGAATCAGGATGACGATTACGATATCTACGATAATCAGGTAAGTTTTATGAAATAATTTTTTAATCCACTTACTCTTTGCTTTGTTACTATTCCTCTCGTTATTTCTATGCAATACTGTTACAGTATAATTGGAGAACGCACTAACGTTCTAATAAGCGTTTTTATCTATGTTACAGCAGCTCATCAAAAACAAATTCCGCAATACTGAGGGACAATCTCTCAGGTGAATAATTAGTCATATTTTACGATTCGTTTCAAACGGGATATCTTAGGATAAAAAAATATTTCGATTCCACTCTCACGAGATGAAATTTCATTAATATCATGGAAGTATTCTGATCTCAATTGATACTTTAATTACCACTTAGCAAACGCTAATTAAGAACTACTCAACCTCTACAATAGCAATCGTTAAGTTATGATACGACAATGCCAATAGCCTATTTTTTTACACTTACAGTTCTTTTATTTTTAATTTTCTCACAATAAAAGTGACCATTAAGAAATTCTTATATAATTGGATAGATCAATCAATAGTGTTTTTAATTGAGCTGAGACTGTAAAGACATGATTTATTTATGTCCATTTAAAGTTGAAAGATATAAAAAAGCAACATTATTGTAGAAAACTTTCATCATCTTTTCGTCAACGTAAGAGACGTCGACGGCGCGAAGAACTACAATCACTCTTTGGATTAGAGTATACTTATAAAATCATAATTATTACAGTTCTTATAAAAGAGATACAATCAATCTTTCTGTTACAAAGGAAAAGGCTTTTGCAGCTAACTTAGCTGACTAGTCGGCATTATTTCTATTGAATGGCTTTGCAAAAGCAAATTTTCGAAATGGAAATTTCTTTGTTCAATTGACAACAAGACAATAGCGATATTGACTATAATAAATTCAATTTTTCAGGCCAAACATTCTCAGCCATCCAGTCGTCCACGTGACAACGCCAAATGCCATAATCGACACTTTCATTCCACTGACCACAACCACTCAAAGTCCCCCACTGACCACTGCCAGATCTTACTCTTCGATTAATCCACCTAGGTAAGTTAATATCTGCTAATAGAATTACACCTAATATAAAACAACCATTTGAAGCTGTAGTTTCTGGAAAAGACAACTTGATCTGAAGAAAATAATTTCGCAGAATTGCCTCTCTTTGCGCGTTTTTCTTTTAATAATTCCACATTTTGCTTCACCATAATAGACGTACATCGTTTCAAACAAAATCAAATTATAATTGACCCTTGTGACACGACATCGAGCAACCTCATTGCACATCGAACAATGTCTGTTTATACGTTGGCAAAGAAATAAAAACCACCGGACCGATGAAAAAAAAAACGAACAAATCAAGACGCGTAAGTTTTTATACAATATCGCACGGGCGGTATGCACTGAGCGCCATAGCACTGAGCGCGAAGGCAGGCAAGGTCGATACATCGCTGTTCACCTTAGAAGTGTAAAAGAAAAATGAAAAGAAAAGTGCCTGGGCACGCGACCTAGTTGCACGCTGCGCGTACGCGTGAGAGATATGCGTCGAGGCTCATCGCGCTCGCGCTCGCACTTTCTCCGCGCGTGCGAAAGTGTTTTTATTATAAGCGGCTTCTCTATTCCCTTTGCTTTATTATGGCCTCTTGCAGCGTCGTACGCACACATACTCATGCGCTTGTTCTTTTTCCTTTCCAGCCGCGGCCGACAACATGTCAATCGAGGCACTGCACCGCCGTAAGTTTTACGTTTCTTTGGCATCGTTTCCTCCCCGCATAGTTGTAATTCTGCAATGTTAGTTTGGCTCCGACGACGTTCATCATTGCGTAATCGCAGGCAGAAAGTAATTTTGCGATTATCAATGCCGATGACTTTACACTTCTGTTTCGCCTGGAATAAACGACACGTATTTACAGCTATTTCATAAACTATTACGAAAATACGCGGAATTTTCTCATAAAACATAAAATGTACAGCAACGCGGTAATAGAGCTATATTTAAACGAACTCATAAATTAAAACGCGTCCAATTAAGAGAGCGCACTGAAAAAAAGAAGCTTGATCCGATTTGACGGCTAATTAACAGACGCTTTACATTTTGCCTAAAGCAACGCGCATAAGGAAGTGTAGTTTTCTACCGATTCGCCATTAAGTAATGCTGAAAACAGCTGGGCGACACATGTCCAATAAAAATACGCGAAATTCGAAATTATGATCAATCTTAATCGCAGCATTTCAAAAGTAAATGCATCAACTTGACAAACGCGAATAAATGAATATGGAAAAAACTTTCACGTGTCGAATCGCTGCATTCCAGTTGGCGTTACAACATCTTTACAAAAAGAGAAGCCGTCAATAAACGAAAGTTCATCTTACCGAAAATTTCGAACGTTTGAAGCGCAATCTAGCGACTACGTCGTCAACGCATGCACGACGCGCACAATGCGCACAAGCGGAACAGTGAAAACGAAAAAAAAAAAAAAAGAAAAGCGCAATCGCTTTAGCAAGACCGTGCGTTATTTTGCCTGTAGGCGCCTGCGACCGACCTTGAAGCCGTCGACGGAAATCGTATCCAAGGCTCAAGAATTCGTTGACATATATCGCTTCCCACCCTCAAGACCAGCGCCGATTTACCCTACACCGCAAGTCGACAAACCTGCCGCCAAGTGTCGCAAGGACGTGTGCTTGCTTCCCGACTGCAGCTGTGGTGGATCCGACATTCCAGGTATTATCGCGCTTTTGCCGAGCTCTCTTCGTATTTTTATCTAATCACGGTCAGAGATGTATGTCGAAAAATTTATTTACCACATTGCAATACCAACAAGAACAAAAAATAAGCTGGCGACCATACAATGCAGTAGCTGGCGGAGAGCTACGTTGAACGATCACGCGATAAAAAGAAAATTTTTTTTCAATACAGCTCTAACGTGCGCAGAAAAGTGACTGTCATTCCGTGTGTACAATTTCCCTTACAGCTATGCCGAAAAAGAAAAACACAAGCGTCACTCCGCTTCGATACAATACACATTTTAGAATATATGAGATCATCAGCGTGAGAAATCGTTCGACAGCACACGGAATTGCACCAGAGAATTCTTTACCTTTTCTTTTCTCTTTACGAGCAAATTACAACTAATATATTTCGAATCATAATCCGCGCGCTCTCTATTGTCGAAAGTGTGGAATAGATGGTTATCGCGCGAGGTCGTAAAGAACGTGTGTATGCAATAAAACCTTCCCTCTTTTATTTCCATACGCCTTATGAAAGTACTACCAGCGCGATGTGAGCAAGTCGATAAAGCGCCAATGCAATTGATATAAATACACGGATTCTTTTTTAGCGTGATGGTTATTGAGTAGAACAATTTTCCTGCACATTTATAAAGCTCTAATCGGAATCGTAAAATAATGACGTAAGTAGTAGATACATTGATTGGGTGCGTTTTCCAATCGTCCATTACACTGCAATATCGGAGCGCTGATTCGATGAAATTAACTTTTCGACATAATTATTCTCATTGGCAACACTTCAACGGTCACCGGAATTTTGCGCTTGAAAAATCTCATTAGCAATGGTGCGCACGACAAGGCGATAGATCAGTCGGCAGAAATCATGGATGGACCAGAACACTAGAACCTCAAGCGTATTGCGAATTATAGCTTTCGACTCTCGAGATAGACAAAACCGTGGGCGTGTGTTTACCTGCAGGTGATGTCGCAATGAAAAAGAAAGAGAAGAAAAACAAATACGCCAGCCGAATGTTGATTTTGACGATCGATTAACGCGCGCGGGCTACTTTCTCCGATTCCAGCGTTACATACCGAGCCGTGGCCACGTGCTCGAAAGTGAAACGGACACACACACATTACGCTGTAACACATGCGGCCGCCTAAACTCTTTTTTTGTCATTTTTTTTTAACGCCGAACCGTATACTTATCGACTTACTACATTACCTCCCTTCCTTTATAAGTACGTTATGGAATTTATGGCTTGCTATTTTTTTATTTTGCGGAAATGCGTTTCAATTTTCCAATGTAACGGCCTATTGTGATTCGAATCTTTTTATTAGCTATTTGTGTTCTTTTCTTTTCGTTTTTTTTTTTTTTTTTTTTGGCGTTTCCGACGTTGCCTCATTTTCCGAACTACGTTTTTAAAAGTAGGCATAAAATGAGATTCAATATGTAATGGCTTTTTGTTCAGCATAGTTGCAATCAGCGCTCGCGAATAAATTTCGAATAGAAAGGAATTGAAAAAGAAATACCACGTGAGAATTTCTGTTTACCGAGACAGACAAGAACACTCCTCTGCAAGTTTTACGGTGTATGAAATGTCGTCTAATTTCGAGAGCCGCAAACATCAGCTCGCGCAACGATCATTTTGTCAGCCAAGCTACTCGCGCGAGCATCGTATGCCTTGATAAAACGCAGTATCGGCTGGCCTAATCCAGTTCAGTCAACGCTCGACTTATCTCCGAATTCGGTACGCAATTGCAGTCTGCAATCTCTCGAAAGCGCGCTAAGTCACACGACGTCAGAAGCTATTGCTCCGCGATAAATTCCGGGCCCCGAGAGAGAGAGAAAGAGAGAGATTAGATTTCGCAAGGGGCTGCGTGTCCTTCGCGGACGCGCGTTTTATAATTGGCCGCTCGCTCTCTGAAACGATACCGATCACGCGCGCGCGCGCGCGCGCGGGTGGAAATCACATTCTATAATGCTCGCGTGCGCGCAAGGGGGAGCAGATGCCATTGCGCACGCGCTCGAGTTTGCGTAACGCCAAAAACGAAATCCAAGTCGACGAAATTTTGAGTTATTCCTCTCGTTCCTCGTCGTCGGAGATTGATAAACTATCGGGCAGGATCTGGGAAGTAGTTACACACGGCCGGTATTACAAGTCGCGGCCTCGCGGGATATTATGTTTCGCGTCTCTTGCCCGCTCCATTGTACCCATTGTCATAATTCCCCGACTTTATTTTCCGTTTCCATGATAGCGCCGCGCAAGAAAGTGCAGGGATTTTCGGTTTCGCGCGCGAATTTCCTAATGATAACGCGCGGCGCGCTACTGCGAGGCCATTGTCTCGCGAGCCCCTTTGCTTTCGAGCGCGCGGCAATTACGCCTGCTCGCCTTATCGAAAAAGCTGCAGCAGCCTCGTCGGGCGTCGGACAAATACGTAATTACAGGGTTCGCTTGCTGCGCGTCGGAATCCACGTCCTCGCGCAAACATTTACGATAACGAGACCGCAAACGACGCATAATTGCTCATCCGCGTGCAACGGGATCGTTGCGATAAAAGTTGATGGTGTGTGAAAATGGGAAACTGTGCTGTGCGCGCGCACCCGAGTATGGAAATCGAATTAGGCGCGAAGAGCACAGAAAGAAAGAAGACAATTATTTTGATTAACGCCGACTGTCGATGACGAAAAAGAGGGGGAAAAAATGCAGACAACGACAATAGCGAAGAGATCAAAATCACGCTACGAGCGCGCTGCGAGTTGCGAATGGAAAATCTAGTATGGCGAAGGATCATATTAATTAATGTCATTCGAAACTACCGTCCGGAGACTTTCCCATTCATCGCTATTTCAGCTTCCTTCCCAATAACGGAATTCCTCTCTGCGCGCGCATGCCCGAGTGTCGTTCAACTTTTCCGAGCCAATTAAATTTGTCACTTGATCGGCAGCGGTTGCGCAACGAGAGCGCGCGCGCGCACCTTTTCATTATCAGCTCTCAGGAGAGAGAGAGAGAGAGAGAGAGAGAGAGAGAGAGAGAGAGAGAGAGATCGGTAGCGAGCGATATACATACGTGTATCCCCAAAGAGAAACGCAGTTTGCTCTCGCATGCGTCCTTTCAAAATCGCGATAACGTATGGACGTTATGAGCTCCGCTTGGATTTGCCACCGTGAAAGTTTTCGCTATAGTTATGCGCCTTTTCTTTTCTTTTCTTCTCGGCTCCGAGTTTCTAGTGTGACTTTGTGTTTACACTGCACGTCCAATCGTTAATACGCCAAGCTTGCGCGTTGGGATATTTCGGAATTTACGACGGCGAGCACAGGTGTACGTGCGCCGACGCGTTCGCGCTGAAAATGACATTCGAAAGCGCGGCGCGCCACACGGAAAGTCATCATCGCTTCTTCCATTTCCTCCCGACGACAGCGCTTGCCCTCGGTGTAAAGCTGCACGGCTCGGTCTTGTTTTGCGAAAATAAATCGCCGCACGACCAACTGCACAATTAAGCCTTTTCGGCACCGCATGTAACGTTGGAATTTTTTTTTTCAACTCCAACCAGTCGCTTTTATTGCGCCACATTTTCTTTTTTTCATCGGTGAAATCAAGAGTAACCGCGCCCAGCGCGATGAGGAGGCTTTGCTAGCTGTATATAAAAGGACCTTACTCTTTGTATTTTTTTTCTGCGGCGACGTTACGTTATGTTCGGTCGGTTTCACCTTCCCGCTCGGGAAGCGGAAATTAGCCGGTCGATTACTTTTTGTTCGCTCGCGCTCTCGATGATTCGAAATGATTTTAATGCATATTCAGCTGGAAAAAAATTTCACAGTGAAATCAGCTGATCCATGTTATTAATATCGTTCATGGCTTCCCCCAAGTTTCTTTTCTGCAGCGTTAACAATGGATTACGTGTGCTTCAATTTGTTAGATAATTTAATTCTTGATGGTGTATGCTAATGTTGATGGTAAATACTCGTATTAATGGTATTTGAGACGTGTCGTTTGGCGTATATAACCTCTGACTGTAATTAGCTATCGAAATGTATTTGTTATACGTAGATTGTAATGAGATAACTCGCAGACGTAATGGAAAAGTAATTTTCATTCATCTGTCGATGAGACAACATAAATATGATATTCGCTTGAATCTTCATGTTTGCATTAAACGCGACTCGTGCTAGTGAAAAGTATTGGCTGAATCGTCCGCAGATGGGATCGATACATAATTAATGTAATGCAACAAAATGAAAGACAATAACGATCTTGTTGGCACTTGGACGCCTGACATAAATAACATAGGTGGCCTACTACCTGATGAGACGCCGCAGATCGTGTTGCTGACCTTCGACGACGCCATAAACGATCTGAATCGTCAACTTTACATCGACCTGTTCGAAAACGGTCGTAAAAATCCAAATGGGTGTTCGATCTCGGCGACGTTCTACGTGTCCCACGAGTGGACCGACTACAGCCAAGTGCAAAATATGTATGCCGATGGACATGAACTCGCTTCCCATACCGTCTCGTAAGTGGCACTGCACATCAGCAATCGCTCGCAACGTGTGCCTGTGCAACGACGATGGTTTTTCTCTCGCGACTTGTTGGCTCCTATGCGCGCGACACTACTACAATCGTAAGTTTTCGTGACGTGCTTGTGGCGAGAGAGGCGCAAGCAATCCTCTCGATCGAGGACCAACGAGAATATCGCCGCAATCAAAGTGGCGCGCGATCACGGAGACGCTCGATACCTAATGGCCATAGGTCCAACAAGTGGCGAATCTCGCAAATGTCCAAAACAGCGGCGAGAAGGAAACGAATCGCAGGGAGAATGGAACTCGTTCACCTCGTGCAATGTGCAAGCGCCATCTCCGACTGACCGCGGCCCGATCCAGTTAGAGTCGCGCTCGATGAAAACTCGTACGGCCGAACCTCGCCCGATTCATTAATTAAATCGCTCGACTGTCCCTTTCCAATCACTCGCCGCTTGTCGTTTTTCCTTGCGTTCACCGACGGACGACTCGCAAAGCTCGCTGTTGTCTCGTCTCGACGCGCAGCTCGTATATCCAAATTAATGCGACGCGCGCGATCAATGATTTATCGCGTGGTCATAAATCAAGTCGCTTTTGTTTTTTCTTTTCTTTTGTTTTTTTGTTTCTGCAAGTGAAATTTGTTAAACATAAACGTAAACACCTTTTCACGCGCTCGAGTTAAATATTTTAGGGAGATAAATTTCAACTGAAATCAAACAACATTAAATTAATCACTTTCGTTTTATCGCGATGGCGCTCGCATCGAGTCACCTGGAAAATCAGGGATCGGCGTTTTCACTTCGATCTTTTAGATGCCATATGAATTTATATCGCTGCCCTTTCACTAATAACTCTAGATATAACGATTCTTCCACATCTCTAGGGCAGTGCTGTCTTGCGGCTATCTATTTTTACTGCTGTCTATTTAACAATCGATCATTGTGTGTAATATATACATATACATGTGCGTACCTATATGTAACATATAATCTCATTGATGTGGCGTCTGCTCTATCGCTGCTACAGCGCACGCCAATGGATTTTTTTTTCTTTACTTTCTTTCATCAAATCGTTCGTCTCATATACTCGCTTGAACTCGAATATTTTCCTTGGGGAAAAAAGTGTAACGAGCCGCGTTGATTTATGTTTGAATAGTATAGCTGCTGCTCTACTACATATTTATACGTATCGGCTCGCTTTCGTTCTTGGAACGGCTCCGTTTTAAGATGCATACTACAGTCACTTTCTTATTTTGCACGAGAAAAGTGACTCGTAAAAGAAAAATTCGAGTTCATGCTGAATATATTCGTTCGATTCGGAAGGAAGAAAGGAAAATACGTGGTCGAGTGAAAACTCAACGAAACCATCCACTAATCAATTCGCACTAACGCAAACCAATTTTTTTTTGTTCTCTTTCTCTGTCCTCTTTGTCTGTCGCATTTCTCCTCACACCCGTGTGCACGTAACCGTCGCATGATAGGCGAGTACCTGCCAGAGGAAATACCACAGATTGTGTTGCTGACCTTCGATGACTCGGTGAACGATTTGAACAAGGGACTTTACTCGGATCTCTTTGAAAAGGGTAGAAACAATCCAAACGGATGCCCGATCTCGGCGACGTTCTACGTGTCGCACGAGTGGACGGATTACAGCCAAGTGCAGAATCTCTATGCCGCTGGTCATGAGATCGCTTCTCACACGGTCTCGTAAGTATTGTAACGCACTGGGGAAGAATGTCGATCCAGAAATGCAACTTCCAACGTAGATTTAACCAGCACTGACTTATTCACATCTGCTGTTTTCTTTTTGTTTTGTTTTGCACTGCCCGTTTGCTGTTCGATGTATGTACATATCGTTTCTGCTTGTACTTTGATATTTTTAAAAATTTTGTTTCGCTTGAATTGCTTTTGTATGACTTTACACATTTTTACACGATAGGACTCCGAAGTTTACGTATTCAAATCAATTAATATTTAAAAAATATTCGTTGTTTTGGTAGATTATACTGTTGAAACAATAATAATCCCAAGTGGACAAGAGAGAACCGACAATGTTGATTTAAATGAAATATCGTTCAAGTAGCGTTACATTTGAAAAATATAGAATAGGTATTTTCATGCATTAAAGAAAGTTGTAATATACAAAAAATTGATAATATTGGATAAAATACTGTAAAATTTATAAAAAAATCATACGTACAGTCAGTGAAGTATAGTAAACATAATAAATTCCTTTTAGTTAATTCTCTAAAATTCATGGTAATTTTGCAACCACAATTACAAGACTTTCTTGATTACTACATAGAAAAGTAAAAATGTGCATTGTTCGGGAAAAAGGTCGGGTAACTTCTTAGAAAAAAATGCTACATTTGACGTGCAAACTAATTAATGATAAAAAGAATTGAAGAAAGTGAGCTCGAAAACGAACACTTGACGTACTTAAAGATGTGAAAAAAGAAATAACCGGTTAGCTCGCAAGCTGTAACGTAGAAAAAAGCCCGTCATACAAACGGGCCATTGTTGATTCTCGGAATTGCGGGATGACGGTGCAAATGACAGCTTAACGCACGCACGCTCTTTTGCATTGAAAGCTTCTCACCTGCAATCTCTCATTAGACTGTTTGTTGCCCACTTTCATTCGAACGAGAGCAAACGAACGCACGCAAACTGGAAACAAAGAATCTGTCCGACGAGTGACCGAGGTGTACGAGTTTTGTTTCGTTCCTATATTTTTACGACGACGGTGAGTTTTCAATTGCCAATGACGAAGTTGACAAATTGACCCGATTAACTTGCCTACGTATCTGGTACACTTGCGAGTACAGTATGAGTGTGGTATTTGCATAATTATGCATGGCTGCTGTTCTCCTTGCGTCGAGTAAAGGGAAATCAGCTCTTCTTGCTACTGATTTCTTTCGAGCGTTGGCTATAAGCGAAGACTTGCTCATAAATCTCGCGCAAATGAAAATGAAGCGTTTGAAGGCTGATTTCCTCGTCGATAGATCTGCATTTGTTCCGAGGTTCGCCTAACGCATTTATTCGTTTTTCTCCTGCGACGCGCAAATACAGGCACAGCTTTGGCGAACAATTCTCGGCACGCAAGTGGTCCCGTGAGGTAGCCGGACAACGCGAGATTCTGTCCGCTTATGGTGGTGTCAAGCTCGAAGATGTTCGTGGAATGAGAGCACCCTTCCTCTCGGTGAGTATCTTATCAACTTTACACACCTTCTGTACGTTTCTTCCATCTGATACTATACTACTCTTCTACTCGTCTGATGTTCGTTCGGCGGTAACTTGGCATGTTACTTTTCGTGGAATTAATTTGTCGTCGGGTCAATGGCCAAACACGAGTGCGAATACGAGAGTGATCGAACGATCTGCCACAGAGTACTTACAGAAATTGACAGTGCGCAAACACTTGGAATAATGCCGTCGCGTGATTACGCTGGCGGTATAGAAAAAGTCGATACCGTCGTCATATTTGAAAGCGTGTCCACAATCCAAAAGCATAGAAGCCGATTCACGTGGTTTGGCAGTGTGGGAAAAGCCGCGCAATGAAAGCCAATTCATACTTTCAGAAGCTGTCGCGAGCTCTCGGGCAGCTCGGTAAGTCGCTCCGACAATCGGCGGGCCTGTGCAAACCGATCGGCGTGTATGCGCGCGTCATTGGCTCATTTCGCTTGCGCAATCGTCGCCGATGCCAAATCGTCTTCGCGTAGCACGCGTAATGGCAGCCGAGGAGAGCCGAAACACGCGAAATCGCCAATCGCAGACGCCTGCGAACCCCGCGAGCTCGCAGTTCGGACGACGAGACTGGTATAACAGGCCGAGCGTGAGCGGCCTATAACCTTTTGACACCGCGAGCGAAGTATTACGATCACTTCTTGCACTCCCGTTCACTTCGAGTAGGCGTGTTTGTGGCGCTTGTGTGCGCGAGTGTGTGTATATGCGCTTTATACGGGTGAGTGCGCTCGCGCGCAGGGAGGAAAAAAAAGCCTTGGCATTTCACCATTTTCTGCCGGCTGATGAAACGACACCGCGAAACCGAGTTAAGGCAACGTGTACAGTGCGAAAACTTCTCGCGGATCTGCTGCTGCTGGTGCTGCCTTATATGACTCCATGCTGATTCGATTGCCAATGACAAATATTTCTCTCTCTCTCTCTCTCTCTCGCTGACTCGTGGTTTTGCTTGGAAAAGCTTGTGTTTTGAATAATAAGTAAAAGTATTTTCTGTAATAATTGGCAGTTCGATCGATTCTGTATGCGGAGGCAAAATGCATGATTGTCAGGTTTCAATCGTGCTTTCCTCTTTTATATCTTCGCATGGAAGAGTAAAAGTACACAAAAATGAACATTTTCCACATAAATAATAACTCACCTCACTTCATAAGCTTCCACGGTAAAATGGCAACGAAAAACATCAGCTTAGCGTTCGTGTTACAAGTCACAAAGGTACAAAAGAAACAAAAGAAAATCGTATGATGCCCGCAGGTGGGTGGCAACAACATGTTCAAAATGCTATGGGACACCAACTTTACATATGACTCGTCGATGCCAATCTACGAAAACCGACCGCCAAGTTGGCCATACACTCTTGACTACAAACTGTTCCACGACTGTATGATTCCTCCATGCCCTACACGTTCGTACCCTGGTCTCTGGGAAGTGCCTATGGTCATGTGGCAGGATCTGAATGGTGGTAGGTGTTCTATGGGTGACGCTTGCAGCAATCCACCAACTGCCGATGGCGTCTATAAAATGCTCATCAAGAACTTCGAGAGACATTACACCACCAACAGGTTGATTTTTGTTAGCTTATTTTATGGTCGATTGCGCATCTTTACTTTATACATTATGCATCGCTGATTACTTGGATAATATTGATTTATCCGATATTCATAACAAATGTAAAGTTCCGTGATGATTTACAACTAATCGATCTTTCGAGATTTTATCTTTGCAAGGCGATTTTACACGTGGAATACGTTTGTTAAACTTTCAGAGCTCCGTTCGGTTTGTTCTATCATGCCGCTTGGTTCACACAGCCTCATCACAAGGAAGGTTTCATTTCGTTCCTTGATACGATCGTTGCTATGGATGATGTCTGGATCATTACGAACTGGCAGGCTATTCAATGGGTTAGGAACCCGACTCCTCTTGCACTCTTGGATAGATTCGAACCTTTCGGATGCAATTACCAGGTACGGCGTTATTGCGATATTCGCTATTTGAATTGTTTATGACTCGTGCATATCGAATTTTTATTTGTTTTCTAGTATATAAATAATTCTTAACAACTTACAAAACGAAGACGATAAATAAATAAATCATTTTTATGTTGGTACATACTGACATGTTTCATTAGTTAAACAGTATCGAATTGAAAATTTCGTCGGTCGGTTATTATTCGAAATATAAAATAAAGATAACGATTAGTAAAGTCAGTTTCAATAACAAGTTGATTATGAAAATTTATACTGCTGATGAGCGAGTTAAGACGTCCGGAATGATGCCAATGCAAACAAGATTTACAAGGCTTCTTTATCGTAATCGCAGTAGAAAGTTTAAATCAGCGGAGATCGTTTGAGAGAAGCAGTCGAATCTAAGGTCGATATTTCTTTTAATTGTTGAAAATCTTAGGACCGACCGAAGAAATGCAACAACCCTAAAGTATGCAATCTATGGCACAAGAGTGGTGTACGCTACATGAAGACATGCCAAGCGTGCCCCGACGTGTACCCATGGACCGGCAAAACGGGCATCCGTAGCAGTCGCATCGACAACGATATCGACGGCCACGATTGAACTGCGCAACCAGAACATCTGTCGCGAGCTAACAGATATATAAAAACGAGTAGAGCGAATATAAATATTTGATTTGTTTCGTTCGAATACCGCATACTAGACTAGATCTTTGATGAATTGTGCTTGTAATCGTACGTGTGTGCATGGGAATGAGCTTCCTTAAGAGTCTGTTTTTCGTCTAGATTTTCTTCTTTCAGGATTAGAATCAGACAAGACGTTGAGACTGAGCGATAGTACACGAGTTTCTCTGTGTTTTTCTTAGGGATCGCTTCGCAATTTTTCAGATATTCGTTATCTATCGCGTAGTCGCAACTTGCGGCATGTTTTTCGGAAAGATTCATGACACTTTGAGATTAACATCGAGAAATCAAAGTTATCGAGGATTATCTAGTTTATGGATTTGTGTGAGAGTATTAATATGTGTATGCGTATGTTTTTTTTTGTATTTGCGAGTTAGGTATATAACAAACTATGACACGTTGCAATGATTACATCGATATAGGGTTTATTGAATTATTATTGCAACGTTGAAGAAGAGATTACAATAACTTTCGTCAATACTCCAAACCATGACATTGACAGCGGTAATTTGTGTGATTCTAAAGTACATCACTAACGACCATAACTTTAGGAAAATGTCTTCATTACGTAGAAAAAAAAATTGCAATGTTAAAAAAAGTATACTTTTTTAGAAAATTGTGTTTATCAATTGAGTATCAAACTACTTTCAAGGTATTTAAAATATAAATTTATATATATATATACTCTGATGGTTCAAAGTTAAAGCGAAGTAGCATACTATGACTTTCAAAAATTTGCAGATGCACGGTGAGCGAGCAAGAACATCGTAAACTTAATTCACGAGCGTAATAAACTTACAGCTAACTCGGTAGCATCGAGGAATGAGCAATTTATTGAAACGTCTATATCCTTCACTTCATGTCTGAACTATGAACACTTTAAACTCCGTCCCATTTTTTAATTAAAGATGCCCGTTTTCTTAACTTGACAGACTCGATATAAAAATATCATATTTAATAAAAAAAAATAATCATTTTATAGTTTTCGAAAACTATTGCTATGAAAATTATTTTGACATACTTAGATGCTACCTTAATCAATACACCTACCGATTCCTAGTGACGAAATACAAGAGTTAGCTTATTAACAATAGACAATGTCATATGCGTTATTGTATATCAAAAAGCAGTAAGGGTTTGAAAAACTCTAAAAAAATGCTAAATACACCGATTAATGATAATTGATCGAGATGTATATTCTATCTCGAAAGCATTCATTCATTTATAATATTTAATTTTTGATTCATTCTCGTTTTACGTAGATACATACTAGAAAAATTGTATCAGTGGAAAATTAGAAGATATTCAAAGGTGTATTTAGCATTATAACAAAGTAGATTTTTTTAATACTCTTACTTTTGCAACTAAACAAGAAGGCCGTAGAAGTCCTGAAAGTTGAAATGGAGCATCTACTTTTAATATCGTTGAGTATATGTACGGATTTTTAAAAGATCAGTTATACCGATTGTCAACTTTCATCTAGATGATTTGTCAACCATCTAGACCAAACAAGTTTTATACAGACAAGTTCTATCTTATTTACATTCTATGCTTCAGATGCAGTAGTACTTATTTTATATATATTTAAATATTGATGTATTTTTGGATTATTGGAACACTAGCAATTAAAGAAAATTCTTAAAAAAAGTTTTTAAAAGTAGCTTATAAGATACTAGCAAAATATACGTTCTGCGTAAGTATTACTATGGAAATTCGACGATTTGACGAAAATTCCTTAACATTTGAGATTAATTATGTAAATATTCGTCATAGACTGCTTAATTTTTGTACCGTGCTAGTTGTAGTCGCGTTAATTTTTTTTATATCAAGGAACGAAGTTAGTGTATGCGATATGCTAAAAGCAATGATTCGAATTGGCATTCTGAAACAAATACTCAAATTGCATATAAAATAATGTTCAACTTACTTTATTTATCGATGTCCTCGAGCCTACCGTACATAATAATACTTTATAAGTAATATTATTATGAATAAGTTTCATTTATGATATTTTCTACATTTACATTAAAATGTAGCTTCAGATATATGTAAGAATCAGAAAACGGAAGAGAACATAGTATCAACTCTTGAGATCAAATATGTCAACGTCTTGCCAAAAGATCGTATTTCTCTCTCAGTGGCCGAGATTTTCTTCCCAGTAACGAGCCATGTTATTGTAGCTTACAGCTTTTCCAAGCCTAGGTGAGAATAAAATTCGAATTATCATTGCCTTTTCGTGGAATGTATCATGCGGACTTTGTATTATACGTATATCCTAAATAATTTTTATAAATTATTACATAATGCAAATTAAATAAATGTAATGCGTATATGTGAGAGCTCTTATTCTGTTATTTTTATATTTATACCATACGTACGTTTTTTTTGTACCCTACTTATACTAATCAAGATGCAGGTAATCAAAAAAAAGTAAACAGAATTGATTTGAATAGTTACTACAGTTCAGGGAAAAGAAAAGTCAATCATAATATAACTTTAAACTGTGAGATTATCCGCCTGGAGTCCGCAAAATATTTACCTTTTTTCACGTTCATAAGTAAGAGTCAGACATTGGAAGAGAATACATAAGATTTGACCAATCGTTCAGATCGAACACGTCTATGTCTTGCCAAACAATTGTATTTCGATAGCCAATATTTTCTTCCCAAAAGCGTGCCATGTTATTAGAGCTATTAATGGCTTTCCAAGTCTAGATAAAATATTAACTACTATTATTCCCGTTGCTTTTACTTATTGCGTAAAATACTTTGATATTAATGTTTACATTTTTATTACGCTCTATCCTTGCCAACAACATCAGGTTCTTTTGGATTTCAGCGCGTTTTTTTGCTTTTCGCCAATAAGTTTTTGATGTTAGAGTACGTCCACGCACTAAGTTGTAATAAGTCTTTAGTAAGTAATAATGGGGTTCAATGCATTTCACTATTTTTACAAGATCATTCAGTATCTTCATAAGAGTTTCTATGTCATCGAGTAGAAATTCGATTTGATTACTCCTTTTTAAATTAATGCATCGAGTTAAAAGTAGTAAATGACATTCCAATATCTGAAATGATACAGTAGTTTTTCACTGGATAGTCGTCAATTTTTTGTAAGTGTTGTATATATTTTTTGTAACTTTGTAAAATAGAAGTTCGCGGGAGAGGGTAGAATAATTACCTTGCATAACGTAATGACTTGGGAATAATTAACGACTTCAATGTCCACGGTGAAAAAGTTTAAATTTTTGACGAAAGTACTGTTGGTCAATTCGCTTCTGAAAATAGAAAACAAGTGTCGTATATAGAGAAACAGCAATAAAATGATTTGAAATAGCATAGCGGTCGAGATGTATTACCTTCGCAACTGCCATGACCATAGACTAGAGACGAGACGCTTGGTACTGTTAGGGTCGCGCAAAATACAAAGCTCCGAGTTGTCGTCTAAATAACAATGCACGCAGCAGTATTGTTGACGCATATTTTAATTATTTCAAAACGTACCCATGATTCCGAGTGCGTAGTCTGCGCAAACTTCATAGCTTTCTATAACGATTCCAGCGTCCAGCAAGAGATCCACGCAAAGAGCATAATACCACGTTAATGCTGATTTATCGATGTCCTCGAGCGAGATGTCGCGCAGCCTCCGCAACAGGTCTACTGTCTCGCAAACTCGTTTCAAACGCACCTTCGTGAATCGAGCCGATGTCGCGTCGACGTCAATTAATGCACCAATGATATTGATGGGAGAAAGAGGCAGTTTTCTTTCGTTAATGTTCATCTTCTCTTTTTCTCTTTTTTTTTCAAATTAATAACATCCATGAATAAAGCGCATTACCGAAGTTTGAATGAGCAACGGCAGTATTCCCAATTCCAATCTAACCATGTGAAAATATTTCGATATACGCAGTGCCTTTCCACCGAATCGCGCCGCTCGCTCCAATTTCCCGTGCAGCAAACTGTATTTTTTTAAAGTAGCCTTTATGGAGCTCGGCAATGCTTGCTCTGGCAGCAATACAAAAGTTGAGTTTTTTACCTGACTTTGAAAATGGCTGCGTACACGTATGCTAATATAACGATTTCTTCGCTGCTGTTCCACTTTTGCCTCTGGTTGATGGCGAACAGTATGTACTTCTCGACGCAACTGACAAATGACAAATCTCTAAGCTTTCCATAAATTTTAACGATTGATAGATACAGCTGGCACTGATCGTAAAAATTGCTCGAGTCGTAGTTGGAGAAACCGAAAACAACGCTCTGAAGTGCAGCCAGCCTGGCTGCCTTATGGTGCTTTTGAATCTGCCGTCACCCAAACGGATAAAATGTAAATTATGAAAAAGCATACGCGTACAATTTAAAGCGATACCATGAGTATCGACGAGATAAGGGACAGGCACGACGCAGCATTTTGTCTGACAACAACTGCTCTTTCCTGCTTGGCATCAGTTCCTATCGTTGGATACGCGAACGTCCAGCGAATATTTTGTTGTATTCTTTCATACATAGTTCTCTGACACGTTAACCACTTAGATGCCCTGAAGTTATGCTTGAACAGAGATAAAGCCTCGAAGTAATTTGTTTTCGCTTGCGGATAGTTTCCAAGAAGTATGTAAGCGTTTCCTGAGCAAATAAAACTTTTCGGAAAAGCCTCACTTTTATAAACGATTTCCGACAAAATAAATTGTACCTCGCAGGCGAAGAATCATGCTCCTCTTGAGCATTTTCTCGTACAACGATGGACTTTTCCAAGCATCGTAAGTGCCAACGTACTGCAAGAACAAGAGCGTGTCAGCGCTCGACCAAGCTGCTTGAAATTATTTTCATATACCTCGTTTCTTTCGTCTGCAAACGCCAGAAATCTGAGAGCGAAACCGGGCTGGCCAAAATCAATGAGCGCTGCCGCGTATTCCAGCATGAAATTAATTATTTTCTGATTGTTATCTAATGCAAAGTCGTAAGCAACGTTATCGCAATGGCAATGTTATCCGTTTGATCCGTATACGTACCTATATGCCTGATGTGTTGCTGCAATTTCAAAAAAATGCAGTTAATGATAGTGAGACATCTGCAATAACGAAAATCTACGTGTCCAAAATTATCCAACGGCAAATACTCATCGGTTTCTTCGCGGGTTAGCGGCTGTACTTTACACTTTTTGCGGGATTGTCTTGCGCTTTTCGGGACTTCTGAATTGATGCAACAAACAGCGTGCGTTTCTAAAAATATTTATTCAACTAAAGCTTCATTTTATTGATATACAAAATGAAATGTCTACGTGAATAAAAACCATCGATATCATCAGTTTCAATCGACGACGGCATAATCGAAACTCTCCTGGTCTCGGTTGCATGGCTATTTTTCATTTTCCTGTCTACAACTAAATGCTTGTTAATACCTTGATCGTCGATTAGCTGTTCCGCTTTATACGCATCTACTATTGGTATCGACATTTTCATCGGCTTTCTCTGAAACAATCAACTGTAAGTCTGATATTCTTTCAGTAACGCTACTTACAGTGCCACTCGATGCTGCGTAATAATTGCAGTATTCGCCGTACGACAATGAAAGTGCAATTGTAATGCAGCATGGAAAATTAATACAGATTCTTTTAATTTCCCTTACGGACTTTTCCATGCCAGGCAGTTTCAAAAATGGCCCACCGCCACACGCCATACATTTTCTCGCCTCCTTCTTGTAAATTTCTGCGATTAGCGTGTGGCATTCTTTCTTCTCTTGGTAAGTGAGTTGCTCGCAAGTTACGCGCAGAAAAATCGATATTTTGAACTCCAAGAAGCGACATTGCGCGTAATATGCCAAATGCTTTTCTGCAGGATGAGCGGCTAAAAATTATATCGGATCGTGGTGAGGAAAAATATAATCAATAGTAGCGTTAAAGCCGGACGATTGACTATTCAATGTATTACGCAAAAAAAAAAAACATTATGCCTTGCTGTACGCAAAAACAAGCCACGCATTGACAATAAAATATGTAACTTTGAGGGTCTTACATTGTGAGTGACACCGACAGCGCAACAAGTGATGCATATCCGAGAAAGTACTGCGAGACTTAAAAGAGCAGACAGCGAGGTCATCGACCTTCGTGCTTTGCCTTTGCAATAACGCGCACTCGAATACACGTATGCGCATCAGATTTTCTATTGCTGGAAATAATAAGTACTATTGTACATGATATTTGAATACTTAAAGAATTTTCAGAACCATTTTTTTACGAAGAATGAAAAAAGATTGTCGATAATAATTTGAATTTGTACCTGTTGATGTTTTTAATGATTGATGATTTGGAAGAATTAATTCCAGCATATTACGAAGGAATACTTTGCCAATTATACTGGCGTATCTAACGACGTTTTGCTCATAAGTGGACAGTCGAGAGTAGATTTCCAGAGCAAGCTCTTCAATTTTAATAGTTGCATTAATAAATCCCCTGTTTTTTTAAGAACGACATCGAAACGGTATTTTTTATCGAATATTAGCTATAGTACCTCGTATGTTATAATTGCTAAAAGAGTTTGCAACGCGAAATTTTTTATTGATCAAGCAAACACTGATTCTGTCTCTCTTATGCCATGATTGAGGAGGAGCCGTTTCTTCAGGCAGTAAATCGGATGAGATTCGCGTAGTTTGCAAGATTTCGGGAAAAATTAAGTTATGCTCATCAGCCTCGACGGGAGTTAATTGAACAATGTCGCATGCGCAACACAAAGTCATCAGTGATAAGAACAATTCAACCCATCCAGGATGAGTTGTGTTCGAATTTAATAAATATCTGAAAGTCAATTGCACACGTGGAAATCATATTTCGAGATGATTAACTAATAATACAAAAAAATGCAGTCGTTCGCAAACTAAAAGAAATAAATGTCGCGATTCAACTACGTATCTACAAATCTGTACAATTCGCGCTTATCTGTACGAACTGCTACGTAAAACATCTGTAACGAGTAATTACTCATGGAGTTCGATAGCAACAGCTTGTACGCCTAAAAATTGACAAGCCAGCGCCGATAAGGAATGAAACTCCAGTCCTGTCAAGGTGTGTCGCAGTAACCGTTTATCTCTGCAAATATCAGCTTCCACTCGCGACAATTCGTCCCAGGATTTCGCCTCCAGAATTGTCATTGCCAAGACTACGTTCTCGTGGCTTATCGCTTGCGACAAGAACTGCCATGACATGTAGTCCATGTGTTCTACGTTGTCCAGTAAAATACACCATTTCTCGCTATTCTGTTTAGTCAGATTTGATGACAATTTTACCGTAGCTCTTTTATAAATTCAATGACGCGATACTGTGCGCAATAGGAGAAAAGAAACGTTACTATGTCTAGTATCTTGTCCAAAATGTTTAATGTTTTCTTATGCCGATTCCAATCAGAGTCCATGAGATATTGCTTCGAGCGCTTAAATCTCACTCTTAATATACGATTCATGTAGCAAAGCTCTTCCGGCAATATCACATGTCCTAATTTCCGTATAACATTCCTCTCCAATTCGTCTATAGTCTTACACCATTCGGATTCGAGTATCTGTTGGCGAAGAACAAACACAAAAGTGAACAACAAAAGTACGCATGTTACGCGCGCTTGTGCGTAACAAGGTGTAACGCAACTTCTGATGCAAAATTGTTGCCGTTTCCGACCATTGCGCCATCGGCGCGATCGAATCGCGGGATAAGAAGCCATTCAAATTTTCCACGCGGCATACACGCATACTCTTACCTGCTCGAGAATTTTGTATATAACCGTGTAAGGCTTAAGAGCGAACGACGGATGAAGTACAATCTTGACCAGTGACGTTTTTCTGGCTTTTGCAACTGTAACGAAGCCGTCCAACACGCGAGACTTTCCAATTCGATTTTTGCCCTGGCAAAGAGACGACTTACGTTATTGTGCGTGAGATCAGCATTTTTCAACGCCCACGCAACAAGTCGCATTGTAATTGCAGATAAAGAACTTTTAATCGATCGATCTACCTCGATCAAAATGCCTGCGTATTTACGAGTTGGTATGCCAATGTCGTCCAAAATTTCGCTAAATAGCTCTAACTCCTGGAATCTGTCGAGCACCGGATAGGCATTTTTCAATTCGCTCCTCGTTCGATCGTCAAACCTGACGAGTTTGAAGAATGTAAATCTTACTCGATACTGGAGAATTCGTAAAAACCGAAGGAACTCACTCATTACGTTGGGTGTAGTGAAATATGTAATCTTTGCTGTGCCCTCGAAGATTGACCAAGCCTCTGACAAGGAAGTGACTCTTGTTGATATCGCTGTGCACGACTGTGTCCAAGTCGCAGGTGACCTTTCGGCGAATTGTACTTTAACGCTGCATTTCAGCAAAGCGTCACCCACGCGCTAAGTATCTCGTAAATACCTTGCCCCGAGTAAGACGCATCATACTTTCGGTTTTCACGATTGGAGCCCCGATCACCTTGTACTGCTGGCGAATAGTGTGGCCGATGACCGCAACGCACGATATCCCTATCGATGCATCAAAGCGGATGCGCAATAATCGGCGCGTTACGCAACCAAAGTGATTGATTTCACGGGCACACGTGAAAAATTCACCTGTCGAGACACCCACGGATACTCCGCTCGCGTGAGTCACGCTAGACAGCGAGTGCAAGAGATTCCAAGCGCACGCCACGCCGAATCGACAATGATTGAAATCCTTCAAGTAGCCACGAGTCCCAAAGACAATGCGAAACCTGACGAGCGAGTCGCGTAGGCTGACATCCTCGATGCAGCCTACATTCTCGCAAGCTCTGTCGCGCGCACGTGCAAATTGATCGATGGATTCAACGATGCGCTTCGAACGATAAAAAGGCAGCGCGCACAATGAAACTCACCTCAGGATTAACTTGTGGCAGTCGTCCGTCAGAGAAATTAATTCGGTCGCTGTGGATTTCGCCGAGGAAATTTCGACGAGCAGCACGGTGACATTTTTCAATTCCGCCACGTGTTCGAAAGAACGATCGCTTTCAATCTTCAAGTCAAACGAGAGAGTAAATGTCGTTGCATTGGCATTGAAAGATACTTACCTCGGCATAAAGTTTTAAAATAACAAGCTACTTTTCTTTTCTCACCTGCGCTGCAATCGACTCAAATACGAAACTTCTCAACAGCATTCCGACATTTTTCTTGTAAGGACCCACTATCACACCTGGACGATCTGTTCGAAAGTAAAATGATTCTAATCGTACATCTACATCGATTTTCTTTTTATAAAAGATTGATTATTAAAATAATCATTAAAACGTCGATTTAAAAAATCCATTGAACACTTACTTGTTTCTAAATCGTCCTCCACACTGTCGTCAATTTTTATCGTTGGGTCTATAATGAATTTCAGCTTTTTCACATCGGTACTGCCCACATCGGATGCTGCTTCTGAAAGCTGACCAACGGCTTCTGTAACAGGCTCATCTATTTCATCGATCGAGTGTTCTGGGCTTTTAAACTTAATCTTACACGTGGCATCTGCTTCAGTTGTACATTTCTTTATTTCCTTAGTAATCTGCAATCACCGTGTTGTTATACTACTTGCGTACAAAAAAATAATGGAATTATTTGAGATAAAATACCCTGATGTGACTCTTGTCCAAGATAACGTAAATATAACCGTTTAAATTACAATGTTCCCATGCACTTGCAGACAATATTACATCCTCGGGTTTACACACATCCGTGGCCCTTTTCAGTGCTGTGAGCGGCTCGCCAATGATAACGCAATGGAGAGCATCGTGTTCGCCTATTACAGCAAAACTAATGCTCCCAGCAGATACAGCACATTTCAAAGGAGCTACGACAATTAACATATTAGCTAAGAGATCCATCAACTTCTCGAGTTATATAAAATTGCAATACTTTGAAATAAATTGTGAAAATTGCATTTTAACTTCCGTACGATTTCTTTTACTGTAAAACAACACGATATAACTTTATGCATCAGCTCCTGGACAAGTTGATCGTCACCTTGAGTCCATATGGATAATAAACCATTGTCTAGGTGTACGAACGAAATGCATATTTATTTAATTAATAACAGTGATTGTCATTTATAAATCCGGACAAACCTGTAATTGTAATTACATCCCCTTCCATATTGCATATTTGCTCAACTATTTTACCTACCAGAGAGTTGCAGACTTTCAAAAATTCACAACTTTCATTGTTATTTATATTGCAAAATTCTTCAAATGAAAAGGACAAACCTGTTTATTTGTTAAAACGACATTAGCAATACGAAAAATTAATCATCGAAACAAAGATGTACGTACTTGAAAACTCTATGTAAAGTAAAATAACGAAATCATAATGAGCAAGCTTAGCTTTTTGCTCAATTAAAAAAATAAGTTGGTCAGGAATGAAAGTAGTTAGTAGCTTGAGTTTGCGATTAGTGGCATTGTCACATAGTGTCTGCAATTCGAAATTGTTCATTGAGAGTATGATAATAATTGATTAATCGGAGGTTAGGTTACTGTTAAAAATAAGTATTGAAATTGTAATACAATGATGTTGCAATAACCTGTCTTAAATTCACGTTTTTACTTCGGATTCCAAGTAGCTCAGGCGATAGAACTGACATATTTTTTAATAAGTATATTTACTGACATTACGTTATCAAGTACCTCAATTCGATATTTTATGGAATAATACGCTTTCCATAATCAATGATATTTATTTGTTTGTTATCGCTTGGTAAATAGCAGTCAAATGTTTGAAAAATCCAAATACGGAAGGCTATGGAAAACATCTTTTAGATCGCCAACACAGAAAATTAATAATAAACAGAAACGTGATAGAGTAATAAATATTTCAAAGTTTGGAGAAATAAATAAATGTTTGTTAAAAAGTTAATCTTGAATTCAAAATTATATGTGATTGTGCAACTGACATTACCGGAATAAGGTAAGGGTAAGGATTTCGCCTGAAGTAATTACCAGAGTAGTATTTGTATATACAGGTCTCTTTATTATCTACCTTAGATCTACAATGAACATTATACTGACATTTACAAGCGTTTTGTTGATTCGACTTTGAAAGCAACAAGAGTATTTTTCTATTTTCAAAAATACGTACATTTCGCTGGTAGAATGTTTTCACTAATATGTAAAATAAAAAGGTATGAAATATTTTATACATCATTTACAAGGTATTCACAAGTGGCGTGCGGACAATTGTGCACGGCTTCTTTGTACGCATAAATTATCGTGCACAGTAACATGTGCAACAATTCATTCGTACCATGTTATCATGCACAATAGTGTATGTGTACCGTAAAACCGTGCACAATTGTCCGTACGCCTCAATTATTTACATTTCAAGTAAACCGCTAATATCAAAGTAAAACGCTGCAACGCTTTTCAAATGAACACACGAATTTCAATATATATACATATATATCAGCTTCTTCTGCCAATGAGAAAATCTCGAACTATGAGGCAGTCCTGAAAAAGGAATATCTTAATTAGTGACAATTACATTTCTCATAAAGTATTTAATAATAATTCAAACTACAGTTTGACTTTCTCGTTGGAATCGGTAATGATACATATGTATGTATAGAAAATATAAATCTAACTTAACTAATTTATTATTTTATAAAATGTAATGTCACGCGTGACAAATAACAATCAACAATATCGACCTGTATATCTTGCAATGAACTAAACCTTAATCTCTAAAAACGCAAACGGTAAAAACGCAAACGGTAAAAACGCAAAGGAAGAACGAAAAAAAAACTAATAAACTATTTTATAAACATAAAGCTTCGCGTCCGGCGTACGAAATAAGTCTACATGTTTTCGGACTGATCACGAAGTTCGTCCTCTAATTGCTGAATGTATCTGGACATGCCTCGCACCTCCGAAAGCAAATTATCGAGTTGCTGAATAACGTCATCAGGTTCTTCGTGGTTGCTAACTGTTGGTTGTACGTACATGTCCTTATCGGAGTCCTCGTCTAAGACCTGACGATCCAGTTTGACCGCACGGCCCTTCCGACGGTGGCTGCTAGCGGGCTTTGGCTTTGGCTTTGGCTTATCGGATTTGGATAGGGTGAGGTCGAGTGGCTGGTCGCTATGTTGGTTGTCGGTGAGGTCGACCGGCGCATCACTGGTGCCGGACGAAGATGCGCTCTCAGAATCGTTGCCGGCCGGCGATATTTGGTGGTTGTCGGTGTCCTCCGTCGCGCTGGTGGCTCGTAGCATCGCCTGCATGGTGTAGTCCAGCGGTTGTGACTCGGCGCTGTCATCCTGGTTGTTGTTGGTGTCAGTGGCCGCAGCCGTGGCGGTGGCAGTGGCAGTGGCGATGGGGGTGGCGGTGACGGTGTCGGTGTCGGTGGCGGTGGCGGTGGCGGTGGCGCTGGCAGTGGCATCGGTACTGGCACCAGCAGGGACACTATCAGTGGCAGGGACAGCGGCAATGCTGTCGGCGGCAATGGCAGCGCTGCTGGTAGCGATAGCAGCGAATGGATTGGTGGCAAGGGGTAGTCTGCTCAAAAGATCAGAGAAATCGAGGAATGGCACGGCAGTTGACGCGACCGGCAATGTATTGACGCTGGCGAGCGAGGCGGCTAGGTCGTTCACGTTGAATTGGAATGGAACCGGGAGCGCCGGCGCGACCAACTGCGGCAGCAGGTTGCCCATAACGTTATCGGGTATTGGTGGTTGCGGCTGCGGAATTGGCGGTACCAAGCCCTGTTGCTGCTGTTGCTGCAACTGGAACTGATGTTGCTGCTGCTGCTGCTGCTGCTGCAGCTGGTGTTGTTGCTGCAATTGTAGCTGCAACTGCAGCTGAAGCTGGAACTGCTGCTGTTGTTGTTGTTCGCTTTCTTGTTCCGGTTGCTGCTGCTCTTGTTGCTGTTGCTGTCGTCGTTGTCGTTGTCTATATTGTTGCTGTCGTTGTCTATATTGCTGTTGTCGTTGCTGTCGTTGCTGCTGCTGTTGTTGCTGTTGCTGCTGTTGTACTTGCGCAGAGCATGATGTTGGCGCAGGCTGGGGTCTGGCTTTGGGTCCGCGTCTAGTGCCGTAGACGTCGATGATGGGCAACGGATTCGGCGTACCGTCGGCGTTCAGTACCATGGCAGGCTTGTGATTATATTTCCTGAGATGAAGCTTAAGAGAGTGGCAGTACTTAGTGGCATAAGTGCAGTCCGAACATCTAAACTGGTAGACATTCGAGTGTGACTTAAGATGGCTATTAAGCATTGACTTATTCACACACGTATAACTGCACTTGTCACACTTGTAGGGCTTGGAACCGAAATGATTCCGTATATGATATTCGAGATGGTGTTTGTATTCCGTGACAAACGGACACTTGGTACACGACAGCACCTTTTCCGGTTTTATGTGGATTTTGTTGTGCGTCCAAAAGTCGCACTTGGTGACGGCAAAAAATGTGCACTGCTTGCAACGGTAAATCTTGATCTTCCCCTGCGAGTTGACAATGGGATGCTCGATGCTCTCGTCAAATTCGATATCGTCGCCCTCGTAATTGAAGTCGTCCTGTTGAGACGGCGACACGGACGCGCCGCGACTCAGGTCTTCGGGACTGGAGGTGTCATCGCTGCAGCCGGCGCCGTCGTGGTTGACATGACGGGCATAGTCGTAGTGGATGGTGTTTGCGACGTGGCGGACGATTCCCGATGGTCCGGGCTCGGGCGACGCGCTGGTCCCGCTGTCCGGGGACAAGGAGTGCGTGCCAGCGATCGTCGAGCGGTCGCTGTGCGACGAAGCCGTATCGCTCGTGTAGTGTCCCGGCGAGATGCCTGAGTCATTGTTTCTCTCTTCTTGCGGCTCCTCCTTCTGCGACAAAAACCGAGAGGCCAACGTTAATCAATCGTCCGAGGCTGTAGCGTTATCGCCGCCGTCAAAGGAAGAACCCTTTGTGAATAAGCGCCGAGCGCCGAAATGTCATTGCGCAAAAGAAGGAAAAACAAATGGAAAGCTTGAAAATTCAATGGGAACGGCTCGCGTCGTGCGCATCGAGAAGGTTCGATCGATAGCTGAAAAAGCTGCATCTATAGCCGGAAAAGTCGGCCCCATAAATAGCGCGTTTACGGTCGACGCTCGCACGCGTAATGACACACGTGGGGGTGGGGATTGCGACGAGAAAAACGCATGCGCCAAGTTGGCTTGAGGGGGAGAGAAGGCGGGCGATTACTCACCACTATATTGGTCCAGGCGGGCGTGGTTTGGGGGCAAGCTGCGGCCTCCTGCTGCTGACTCTGCCGCGAGGTCTGAGGTGCCGCTCTGCTGTCTACGGATGGCACGGCAGGCAACGACGGCGGTGGCGGCGATTGCTGATGTGTGAACGTCGAGTTAGCTCTTCGTCGACGCGAACCGGGAGCCAGAGCCCTCGGCTCCGCTTCTTCCCAATTCCCTCGCATCTTGTACAGCGCTACAACAAAACATGCGTTATAGCGCGTTGTTAGACAAAAGCGATGGAAATGTGCGGACAAAGAGGAGATAAGATTTTAAACATGGCATTTTCTAATCCTCGGAAATGTAAACCGAAAAATATTTCAAAAAAGCGCCGGGCAAAAAAGAGAGGAGGAATTTTTTTCTTGGGAACACAAAAACTAATTCATAAAAAGCATAAAAGCTGCGCTCGCGATCGGCAGGTGAAAAACTGAAAGGGCACACACGCATGGAAATCGCGAGGACAATAGGACCAAGATCCGCCTCTGACGTAGACAGAGTGAAAAAAAAAGAAAAAAGAAAAAAAAAAGAGGGAGCAAGAGCCGCTGTTCGCAAAAAAATATCCTCCTACGCAGGATGACGCGGACGGACGGAAGAGAAAAAAAGGGGAAGGGGGGAGATGGCTTTGTGTCGCTGTCGGGTCCGTCTCTTTTTGTATTCCCGGAAAAAGGGTTTTTCGCTGGTTGGAGAAAGGCAGCGCTTGTTTTCCTTCCCCGTCGTTCAGCGCGGGGGCTGCTCATTTGTTATGCCACTCGCGAGTGTTCGACGCATACGTTTGCGTTGCATCGATATTACAGGCAAAGGGCTACTCTAATCCCTTTCAATGCACATTGGCTCGTCGCGAGTTTGGACGAGAGATCAAAGGCGCTGTAAATGACGATGAACCGCGATCCGAAGTTACGCCAAATTGGAACCGAAGAGATGGAAAACAAAGCGAGAGAAACGCCGAGGATTAAGAGAAATATGAGTTGGCAAAAAGTGACAACATCTGCATCGGACCACTCCTCCGCGGAGAAAGGCAAACACGGAAGCAAGTTTTGACGAAGGGAGTCGCGAGGAAGCTCGAAAATTTATTCAAGTGGGAGCACGCCTATTCCGCGATAACGAAGGTGTAGAGGAGAGCGCGCGCGAGAGAGAGGGAGAGAAGAGAGACGGAGAAAGCGGAAAAATATGTGGCGAAACCGCGGGGGGGTCGCAGCGATTTGTGTACGCGCGTGCACGCGAAAGCCCTCTTCTGCCGCTGCCAGATCCATTGTCCGCGCGCCCATCTGGCCGCGCGAGTTTTCTGCGAATTTGTCAATTATAATATGCGCGCGACCCGTGTAAACACGCCGGCTCCCGCGATATTTTAATTAGCTCTCGGGCCGCGATTTCCGCGAATCTCCACTGGAATGTACCCGAATGATTTAACTGCGCGTCTTCGAGAATGCGTGTTTTTCGATTACGTAAAGCTGCCGAGTGATGAGCCAAGAACTATCGGGCTCGCTCTTCTCGATCGAAATCACGAATAAAAATACATGTATACATACATACGTTTTGAGAGAAAGAGAGGGAAAAAAATATATAGTCGGAGCCAACGATCTATGTACACCTATAACTGTGCGAAAGGTCGCGCGCGATAAAAACAAATAGAGGCAAGACGAAAAAAAGCAGAAAGGAGCACGCGCCTCGGAGTTTGAGTGCGAACGTACGTGTGTAAGGGGGGCCAAGGCGGAAGATACGATAATGAGAATGATTCGCTATCCTTCTCGATTAGCCGATCGATCGACTTTTTCGCCACGACAGAGAGAGAGAGAGAGAGAGAAAGCCTCCGAGGAATCTCTCTCCGGCCGTCCTGCCAAACGCGCGCTCACTTTTTTTTTCTTATCCCCCTCGTGCGCTTCTATCTCGCGATTGGCTTTGTTTGCCGATGTACACAACCGAACCCCGTTTCCGTCTCTCTCTCTCTCTATCGTGGAAATGTCTTTTCCTCCCGGCCGAAACGCTTCCCCGACGATTTGCGCGTTACCGATAATCGTATGAAATTCGAAAAACGAAATCGGCTTAAACTTATTTATTTTGAATAACGTGGCAAGTAAATGAGCTGCGAGAATAATGATGAGCGGTAAACATGTTCTATTTTCAGTAATTACTTAAGCGGACTATTTACCTGCGTTACCATTGTACTTTTGAATCGAAATGCTGGACAAATACAACAGCGAATTTCCCGAAAATCCGAGAAAGATTTCCGTTAAATAACCAGAAAAATCAAACGAGAATTCGATTGGCAATTAAAAAAAGAGAAACCGATTCGCGAAATGCGTTAGCACAGACTGTGAAATAAAATAACACTTGACTAAGAAGCAATAAACGAATGTTCTAACTACAACGCCAAATACCAGATTCGTTCGTTAAAAAGACAAACAAAATCCAAAATCGTTATACGAACCAAATATCGAAAAGTCCATCGCAGAATGCGGCGTTAAATAAAACGTACAAGGCAATGGGCAAAGTGTATCTCGAAAAGTACGTAAAAATTGTACTTCATGAAAGTCACGTCAAGTATAAGAAAGTTCAGTCACCCCGGCAGCGTCTTACCGCAAATAAAAAGAAGCGTGTTACCTCCGATCTGGTCGGTCGCGAACTGTAACTAACAGTCTTGCCGCGGAGCTTTCCCAGCGGATTTTCCTAATTCGGCCGCGGTCAACTGTTTTGGCGCTCGAGTGCGCCGCACGCGGCCAAAGCCAAAACACCGCGGGCAAAAGACAGAGATCGAAAAACAGCGCAGCCGCGGGTGGGGGGAGGGATCCTGCCGTGCGCGCCGCGACTCATTTTCGTCGGATCGTCGAGTCCGCGAAATCTCGTCCGAAAACAGAGGACCACGGAGGGTCGCGCAGGGCAATTCGCGTGGACGGTGGCGCGCCGCAACAACAAGAAGGAAGCCACGACGCCGTCAGCGCGGCAGCTGCCGATTCTCTTTACTGCGCGGACATAACCCCTTTGGTCGAATCGGGTTGTGCGTCGAAGGTGAACTTGCTAAAAACTTGCGAACGACAGATCCTAGGTTAATCACGAACGATTGCTCAAAAAAATGAAACGCGAAAGCGAAGCGTTTGTTTCGCGACGAAGGCCGGAAACAGGACAAAAAACAAAAAGTCGGCGAAATTCGATAAAAAAGCAGAGTAGAGAACTTGTGATGAATCAAATGTAAATTGTATTCTTAGAGCAAAACTTACGTTAGATGCCTCCGCCAACTGCACGGGAGTTGATCAGAACCTCAGGTACACGGAACAACAACTATCCAAGTAGCCGAAAATCTCTGGGCACTCAAACCAGAAACAAGTGCCAAAGCACCGGGCAGGTGTTGGAAACTGCACGGAAATAAACCAGCGCGAAAACTGTATGAGAATATCCAAGGAGATCTTCTCAGCACAAGGTTCAACGCTAAACTGCCAAGGCAGCGCTCGGACACGCGTATTTAAACCCTGAGCGCTCGACAACCCTCGGCCAATGGGAAAAGCACGTTGCCCTTCCCTTGCCGCCGCTCCTGTTCCGCTCCTGCTCTACTCTCTCGCTCTCTCTCGCAACATCCCCCTAGCTAGGTCGGTCCCCTCGACGCGCGTACAAATCTATTGGAGGACCCACGCAGAAAGGGAGGGCCGACTAATTAGAAGGTCGCTGCACCGGAGGGAAGGGGTCATTGCCGTTATTGCAATTAAGCCGATCCCCGAGGACGCCCACTTTGCATGCCCAACGTCGTTTGCGGGAGGAATGGCCGCGCACACTTTCTCACCCTCCCCCCCCCCCCCTTCCCCCTCCAGCAAGATCGCCCGATTATTGTCCCGTGCCATTTTATCTTGTCCTCGGATGAAAATATTGTGACATCGGCATTTTTTTGTAATAATTATTGCGCTAATCTACAACGACGATGTAATAATCGAGTTTTCTTAACGACGCCAAAGATACGCGCGGTTATCCATTTCTTCAAAAAAAAACAAAAACAAAATAAAAGGAAAAAAAAATGCAGCGCTCCTCTAACGAGTACATAATGCATACAATCATTTGTGACACGCATGGAAATTCCGTTAACCCCCTCGAATAGCGGATTAGTATGAAAACTGTGGAGCAATCGCTTATCGCCGTATATATAATCCATATTTCACGTAAATCCGTTCAAGATGTTGCAATCAAGGCGGTAAACAGTTGGCGGCGACTTCCTTCCGGGAAAGCTTCATCGCGGCTGCTATTTTTTTTTGTCCCCCGACCGCATCACTCTTCCGCTGGAGCACACGCGCGCGGCCGACTCGATTCGAAAGCGCAGCGGGACCCCACGAACGCGCTTTTTCTTTCCGCCCGAAAGGAAAACTCCTTACACGCTCATCTCTCTGTCAATGGGTTAGGAGGAGCCGAGAGCTGCCTGAACGGTTAAAAGTAGCCCGTACACGTGCCGCGCGACGACTTAAAAATAAAAGGGAACAAGACAAGAGAACCAAGTCGATTTGTTTAGTCCTCGCTTTTTTAGGCGACGGCCAGAAATCGAACAGAGAAAAAAGTGGTAGGCGTCCGCGCCTTCGTTTACGCTTTGATCAATTAGCGAGTGCCTCGAACGTCAATCAGGTGCTTAGAAAGTCCACGGCGAGCCACATGATTCACCTTTATTTTCGACATTTTTTAAATGCCGCGCGCACACACGCACACACGATCTTTATCTGCCCGATGCTTTAACTTCGTGTACTTTCCACTTCTTTTCTCATTAGTCGCAATTGTGGGGGGAGTACGTTGGAAAACAGTTTTCTACTGTCACGGATATTCTTTGAAGGAATGATCAGTGGCATAAGATGTAGAAAATTTTAATATTTCTCACTTTATCTGATACAATCCCAATATCAATTATGTTCAATATATTCTAGCTACTTTTTATCGTTTCTCGTAAATCGTCATGTAGAACAAATATCAAGTTTATCTTGAAATTACATTTACAAATTCAACTGCAAATATGTATGATTGAAAATAATGGCAAGGTTCATTTTGCGCAGATACAGATTCTACGCGATTTCACTTGACAGTAACTTGTTATTTTATTTGTTACGGTGTCTTGTACTGAACGCAAAAAATAAAATGATACAACAACCTACAAAGAAATTAATGTAATATTAACAGGTTCAGAACAAACTACATGAAATAATCGGGGATTTGATTAATTTTTAATTAAGGGTAAAACCCTAAACATATTAATTCTTTAAATATTATATTATTCGTGTGGAAAAATTCGAGGATATATTGTACGTAGAAAATCATGTATCAACTGTTAATAAAAAAAAGAATTTTTTTCTGTTGAATGAAAAGACATGCTAGTGACTCGCATGCGAGTAGGCACGTAGTAGCCGTGAATCGGCGAAACCATTCAGTAGTGTGGCAATTCCGGACTACTTCCAAAGTTATTTTATTTTATTCTAACTTTCACACACTTGCTAGCATTGTTTCTATCGACTAAACCGAAAGTCTTCATCCCCATTTGGCAACCGAAAAAGTTTCAGTTCGATCAACGCAATTTTGAGAAATGCACTCGAGGTAAAAGACATTCAAATGTACTGTTCAGTCTTCTTAAGATCACAATGTTCTTCATGCTTGTATTATGTATCACTTATCAGGCGTTTTCCACGAATAATACCACAATGAACATCGTAATACATATGCTCGAATCTTGGCTGTGGATGTCATTAATACATGCACGCGAAACAAACAAATCATTAAACAAGTAATACTTGGTACGTAGCTTTTTTCTTTTCATCATCTCTTAAATAAAAAAATATGTAATTATACTGATTATGTGACCATAACCCATTGATGCCTAGCGCAATTATTATCGCGACGAAATTAATGTCAGAAAAGAAGAAATATTTCAAGTAATTAAATCTTTAACCTAAGAAAAATTCAGCAAGTAGCCTTATAAACAAAAATATTTGGTAAATTACTAACTTTATTACTTTTTTATTTATGAAATAATGAAAAACTATGCGTCTTGCCGAGTTGTACTACTTTTAAGGAAATAAGCCAATAAATTAAACAGTAAAACTTGAAAGTTTTCTATGTTAGTTAATGAAAAATCTGTTTAATAGAAATGTCTATATAAAACTTTTTCATCTTAATGTACTCAGATTGAACTTTAATTTTCTTGATCGAAAGTTCTAAAGTCGTAAATATACGCACCAGAAAGTTACTAATAGTATTGGACACATAGAAAGCGAAATAAATCCAGTTTTCAAACGTAACGAATTAATCTTTTCATTTTTATGATATTCTTTAAGTAAATTGAATAGTACCATATTTACCTTTATCTATACACTATCTTATAAAAAGTACAGAGCCACGCGTGTTTTTTGCTGACGATTAATCTTTTTCAACTGTGAAAACAGCATTCAAACATAATACACGTAACGTAATCAATGAATGGGGGTTAAATATACTTCCGATTTAGTTACGATAATCAAAATTGAATTGCGCGGAATTATTCATGGATTTGGTTATTTTTGCTAACAACGCGGGATTTGTTTACAATTTTTCCGGAACGATTTTCATTAATTTTCTGCTAAGTTCCTCCATTTGGCTTCGGGCCAGATGAAACGATTACTAGTAGATTGGCAAGATTTGACTGCGAGAGCGTTGTTGATGGGCAACAATCACTGCACTTCCGTTTCATTAAAAAGTCATTAGATATTCAGATGTTTATCGATGCTTCTACGTTGCAGTAGAAAAAACTTCATAAATATACCCACTAATTCAAATTGATATTGAACTTGAAAGAAGTATGTGTGTGTGTGTGTGCGTGCGTGCGTGCGTGCGTGCGCTCACGTGAGTGGGATTGGAAGCGTTGAGAAATTATTGTTGTGTTTTGTCCGTCGAGCAAAACGAAGCATGATACTCGTAAAATCGCAGGCTCGACGGTGGCGGCGAGGGTGGTCGGGCGACAGCTATGTGCGACTAGTCACCAAAGGGAGATCTGCGCCAGCGGGCGTGATCTCCCTCGCGGTTGTAGGCGTGTAGTCTGTCGCGTGTTGCCAGCATCACGTCGCGGTTAACTTCGCCACCAGCCTCTGTATATGCCGTTCTACTCTCTCTTTGCACCGCGACGTGCGAATTTGAATACGCATCGACGCGCGAAAGAAAAAAGAGGCGTATCTCTTAAGCCACTTATTCTCTGACGTTTAACTTACTTTCGGAAAAATGCTTCTAACGCTCGATTTTTCCTTTTCCAATGGGCTGCGCGCACAGGAGCGAGGGGCTCGCCGCGTGTTTTTTTTTTTTTTTTTAATCGGTTAAAAGCGGCCCAGACACGTGCCGAAAATTTAAAAATACGAGGAAAAAAAAAAGCGTTCAGTTGTGCGTTTAGCTCATTTATGCTTTGTGCTTTTTTTACCGACCGCACGAGCGCGCGCGTGCGGCGTGTGGGAAGAATAACAGGAAGCCATACGCGCGTTTCTTCTCGGCAGCGCGCCTCTATCGATTATTTCTTTGGAATGATCAGGTGCTCGTGGGCGAAACCGCGACGAGGTCTCTTTTTACTGGCACTTCTCTGTTGCCAGACTAGTAATGATAGGCGATCAGCGAGGTTTTTAGGCGATTCACGAGATGCTTTGGTGAGGTGTGATTTACGGTGGATAGTTGTAAATCTAAGAAACCGTGAACGACCGTGAACTGCTCGAGCTTAAAAATATTTTAGGGTGCCGTAAAACACTATGCAGTTACAGCGCGTACTTGGCAAGCCATAAAAATCCTGGCGACTGTTATTCTTCGGGCGACTGCGTCAATACAACCGCAGATAATTATATTTTCCAAAGAACTCGTCAGGGAGGGGGGCTATGTCACGCGTATGAAGCGTGTCGTCGAGGAATGAAGAAGTCGAAGTTGCCATCGCCGCAACATTCCGCTGCACGCGATAAAAAACACAGGATCGCGGCGACCGTGCAAGCAGAGAGAAGTGTCCGAGCGGCGCGCTTGCCGAGAGAGAGAGACAACAAACACGGATAGGCCGGGATAAAATGAAGAATCGTAAGCTTGAGGGCGGCGAGCAGCAACGCGATGGAACAAAGGCGCCACCCGGGTAAAAGCTCTGGCTCTCTCTCTCTCTCTCTCTCTTTTTCTCCTGCATCGAGTTCCTGTCCGAAATGCTTAACGACCCCAAAGTACGTGCCACCCTCGGCCTGCCTTTCTTTTTTTGGCAGCGACGTTGAGGGAAAAAGTCTCCCTTCTGCTGCTGCTTCTGCCTTATCGCTCACTCTCTCCCTATATGTATTTTTTTCTCTCTCGCTCTCTCTAGGCCTGACCCTTTTTCACCAGCGACTCCCTCTTTAAGACGCCTTCTCTCTCTCTTCTTTCTTCCACCCGATTCCCTCTTTTTTCTGTTTTTTCTTCACGCTCACTTTCTGTCTCTATCGG